AAATTCTGCACACCTCATGTGGCTTGTAGTGAGAGATCGTGAATATGTGAAATTGGTTAGTTGTTTGGTAACTATATCATGTAACATAATTAATGCCCAATGATAATTACCACCACACATTCACATGTGTGTAGTTTTGGTGATACAGATTTTCATTATATACTTATTGCCAATGACGTTTAGTTGGTGTGCGATAATTTGTAATTCATATTCTGATTCAGCTGGTAGTACTTCATTATCTGCACAAAGTATCTTACATTAACCACATTCTAATAGTAAGTGGTGTTTCCATTCCTGTAACATTTTGCTGTTGTAAATGTTATAGTCAATGACCAAAATCAGGCCCTGTCACAAATTACAATTGTAAAAATGATCATTCCTATTGGGCACTGTTTACATCAGCTGTCTGCTGATAACACCCTCCCATTTTGGTCAATATCTATTTCATGGTGTTATACAGTGAATAATTTTGAACACTGACAAACTGATTCTGACAAATGCATGATCATCAAAAACCCATGTTTTCATGTGTGTCCTTCAGCACTCTTATTCACTTGTTCTTTTAATGTCAAATTAACTAAAACTGTTGGATTTTTCAGACAGCCTACTACCACCTAATTCTTTAGGTAAAACAGACTGTGACCACCTTTGGTGATTGTACAAGGATTTTTTTTATTGCTAGTGGGGTGGGACTAAGTCCCTTGTACTGCAGCCACTTCTGGCCTATTTTACTACCAGCACCAGATGATAGGTGAAGGTGATTGTGGAGCACCTGGTGGAATGATGATTGCCCAGCGCCACTTTGTCCACCACAAATCCCACTTGACCAGACCCGGGATCGAACCTGGGCCGCCACAATGGGAAGCCAGCGAATAACCACTTGAGCTATGGTGTGGCCTTGTACGAGGGTAAGTCAATAAATAAGTTACAAATGGATATAGAACTTAAATATGAGTACTGATTTGAAAATTGCTTTTATTTCTCAACATTATTTCCTTGTACATTGAGGCACTTGTCCCATCGTTTCAAAAGCCCCTAAAAACCAGCAGCATAAAATTCTTTGGGCTGCTGTCAGAACCAGGCAGTGACTTCCCTTTCTACAGCTTCATCTTCAGGAAAATGTTCAGCCAAAAGATGATGTTTAAGAGGGCCGAACAAATGGAAGTCAGCAAGGTCAGGGCTATAAGGAGGATGCTCGAGGACTTCCCATTTGAAATTTCGCAGCATCTCATTGGTCTTGTTGGCAGTATGGGAACCCACATTGTCGTGCAAGAGCGACATGCCTTTGGTGGGTAGTCCTGATCACTTCTGTCGAATGTCCTTACGAAGTTTCCTGAGGATGTTACAGTAGGAGTTGGCATTTACGTAAACGCCGACTCCTATTCTACATCCTCAGGATGTAAATGTTCCCTGTAAAGGGAAGTTACCACCTGGTTCCAACAGCAGCTCAAAGAATTTTATGCTGCTGGTTTTCAGGGGCTTGTGAAAAGATGGAACAAATGCCTCAGTGTACAAGAAGATTATATTGAGAAATAAAAGCATTTTTCAAATCAGTACTCTTATTTAAGTTCTATATCCATTTGTAACTTACTTATTGACTTACCTACGTATATTCATTGATTTCTCAGGCCAGTAACTTGAGAATGCAAACACATGACAATCCCAAATTATCACTACCCATCTGCCCTTGCATGCCACTGACAACAACCTGTTAATGCTGCTGAGCTACGATTTTCACAAAGATTTGCTTAGCAGGCTGAATGTTCTCGAGACCTGACCAGCCACTAATGATAGTGCCAGAAACTTTTGGCCATTCTTAACAATGGCCGATAAATGTCAAAAATGCCCAAATTTCGTTTTTTACCACAACATATATATATATATATAAAAACTAGTACAGGGAATATACCAAATTCCCGTTTTTAGTGCCCATTTTTAGAAACAGGTTTTGAAATTCCTTTACCAGCATATTTTACAACACGCATAACATTATATGGATTGCATTAATGTGTACAGAATGTTATATTGTTCCACCCCCAACACAATACTGAATCTTTATATTCTGTGAATAAAATAGTTATGTTGCTATAGTATTCACACCTGTTCTCTTGTACTTTCTTGTGTATCTTTATTACCAGATCTGTTCCCCACTACTTTGGTTTTGTTTGCACCTATATAATTGTTGAAAGATCTTTCAGTTTACTTTTGCACATTATTCCATTAAATATTTTCTCTACAGAAAATGGGCTTCATCTCAAAAAAGATTCTTTTCAACATTTAGACAGCATAAGAAACTCTATGAAACCCATTTAACTTTCTAACACTACAGAATAAAGGCACAGTGACCCAAAATGCAGATGCAAGATATAAATACGAGTATATCAACAGTCAAAAGAGTTGTCCTTTTCTGTCCCACAAAAGAAATGTTTGCTTAGAAACACCAGTTCCCTCAGCTCTGAAGATATCTAAGATTTTCTTTGACTATCCAAATTACACATGTCCTCCCTATAGCGAAAGAAACCATACCAAGGGAAGATACATACCAGCTGCCAAATATTCTGCATAGAGAATACAAACATGTCCTGCCTATGTGCTTCTGTGTTCTGTAATGAACAACTAATTCTCTAGAGCAGAGTCCTCCTTGACAATCTAATAGTTAGTCAGCTACTCAAGAATTTCCTTTCCCTCCATGCAACTCAAAGTTTCATACCATATCCATAAGAACCTACCGCACAACATAAATAAAATAATTATTTTTTATTAAGGGAACTTTACCATCTTGGTGAACATGTCCATGTGTCATTTCATAAAATAATGTAACTATATTGTGACCTCAAACTAAATCATCAAGTGTACACTTTTCTCATACACCCTGCAGTATCATAATGAATTATGATTGAACTGTAACAGTACAACCCTGAAACTAACAATATGACTGCAAATATTCTATTAGCTGATATAGAATCCACTGTCAAATGTTCAAATCCTTTAATGCTCGTGTTCCACTTAAGAAAAAAAATGGATCCTGCTAAATAAACAATCATAAGAGATTACAGTCACATTCCCAACATATATATGAACTGTACCAGGAAGTCTGGATATGTCCTACAGTGGGATCAAAAAGCTAAACGTGCCTATTGCTAGTAAATCATACATTAAATTGGGAAAATTAAATCACACTGACTTTTGCTAGAAAAATAACATCAGAATTGTTCCTATTCGGTGGATGAGCACATTACATACAGATGTTCAAACACTTTATACTTGTAACTCTAATCATAACATTACTGTGTATATGGAGTATATTTTGTAAATGTTGAGAGTTGATAAATTAATAAATGAACTGAAATGTATAAAGCACCAAGAATATATTAGCATAAAATGAATAAGGAGATGTTCAGACAGCCTGTGGCGTTTTCTTTATCTTCATAATTTTTATTCTGTGGAAGAATATTTCCAACATAAATCATTATAAGTTAATGATTATGCATTCACTAGAATCACCTGTTGATCATCCAGTCTTTTATTAGTATTATTCTAGTCATTATTCTATTATTCTAGTCTAGTCATTTAAGCAATTTCTGTGATATGTTCAAACTGTCATTGTTTAAATTTAAAATGCATGTTTTATTAAATTAACTTATATGACTGGAATCTATTTGATTCTACATGTTTTGTTTTTATTTTTGTATTTTATACTTTTTTATTTATGTACTTAGTTCTTGCTCTATTAATTTTAAGAATAATCACTGTATGGACATGTCCTATATCTCACTTGTATTGTGGATCCATGGAACGAAAAATAAATGAATGAATGAATGAATGAATGAATCACTGATTTACTTTTAACATCTACCTGAACAGGATCTACCAATAATTTACTTCTACTCTCATAAAATTCCAACATGCACACTGATGCTTAAGTAAAGAAATTGTGCTATGTGTTTTAAGAATCTGAACGCTGTTAATGTGGGCTTGTACCTGGTCCATACAGGTCATACTCTGAGTAGGGGAGGACACCATACTTCAAGAGAGGAGTATGGTCGAAAGGTATGTGGTTTGAGCTGTGAGTATCTGATGATGTGGTTATCTTGATCCTTCCAGCTGCATGCAACAAAGAACATCCTCAAGTACAATCTAAACCAGCCAGAAAACGATTAAAACTTGAATAGTTTCAGTATTCTGGGATGATGATGTGCAGTTTGGATGACAGGTACAGCCTCCATCTTCAGGGCAGATAACTCAGCCAAGTTTGGATAAATTATGCATAATGTAAGAGAGGCCAATAAACTTATCAAAACTGGTAGCCCTACATAGGGGACAAATGGCAGAGTATAACAAGAAGGGGGNGGGGGGGGGGGGGGGGGGGGTAGAATTCCACCTCCAGCTTCCTTCATCCTGTGATTCTTTAGTCTTTTCCCACTGACAAAAAGGTCCTTTGTAAGAGCACAAGTTCGCACTAATCTACTGACTACTTTCCATCCCCTTTTCTGTGGATCACATACCACTTTTCTCTGCTTGGGCCACATTTTTTGCCCTGAAGAAGGATGGAATGGGTTTCTCCAAAAAAAACCCATCAATTAAACTACATGACATCACATTCCAGAAGGACATAACCTAAAAATTCAACATCATGAGAACCTCAGACCTTACATGATCTCAGTATGGTTTGATGGTTACTTCCACAGTAACTTCAAAGCACTGCTCTTCTGCTGATAATTTTGTCCACGTGGAATAACAACAATATACAAAAATTTCCAAACTGTTGTGCAATTTCAGTAAGTTTCTTCTTTCTTTCTAAAAGCTTCTTGATCATCTTTTTATATGGCAATAAACTGCAATATTCTGAGCCAAACACAACCTTATACTCCTCAAATTAGCTGAAAACAGTCTACCTGATCATGACTTCTGCTGCACATGAATTATGAACAGCACCTCATAGAGGTCAAATGGCAGACATACATGCTTCACATGAAATTTGGATCAGATTTGATACTCACATGGCTCCACTGTGAGATGAACAGACACCTGGGCTCTTGGAATATTTGGGGGGACACCAATGGCCTCACAGATGTACGTGCCAGAGTGTTCCACCTAAATTCAGGGGAAAGACACACAAAGAATTCCATTAAAATACTATCCTATGCTAAGGACAATCAACTGATGGTTCAAAAGCCTTCTCTGACCCTTATCATTCAAGCAAGGGAAGTTTATTTACAATTGGAAATAAATATCCAACTAACAAATGACACTAAATATTGTGATTACGTGAGTAGAAATTCTGGTTCATATCCAATCTAGGCTACAAATATGCCTGACCAATACAGAACCAGTCACAGACAAGTATCTAAAATACACATGCTATGAAAATAAAAATAGGTCAGATCAAACAATAAACCAAGTAACTAAAATACACATGCTATGAAAATAAGAATAGGTCAGATCAAACAATAAACCAAACTGTTTACCTTCCTACTTTAACATTAAACATAACAACATCTTAAATTTAAAATTGTAACAAATCATCATACCATGTAGATGATAACATATTTATGCCAAAATAAAGCACCTATGATACATAAAACCTTAAAAATTCACATTAAAATAGTAATTACTATTAAAAAAATCCTTCGGTGAATAAAAAGAATTCAATAGAAGGCAGTTTTTTACAGTATTTTTTAAATTAATTCTTATTATCAGACAATTTTTTATGCAAGGAGGTAAGTGATCAAATGACTTTATACCTATATTATAAACACCATTTTTATAGAGAGAGAACCTTGGTTGTGAAGGGTAAAATTATTTTTACCTCTGGTGTTGATACATATAACTGTGAATTTGTTTTAAATAAGGAGATATCAATTACAAAAATTAGTAATGAAAATATATACAGAGAATAAAACGGTAATATATATAGTTTCTTAAACAACTCCCTACAGGAATCCCTATTTCTGGAATTTGTAATAATTATGGCCTTTTTTTCTGTAGTTTAAATATATTCATACTATAAGGGGAATTCCCCCAGAATATTATACCATATGACATAACTAAATGAAAATAAGAATAGTAAATCATCCTCAGTAATTCATGGGACACAAAGGGTCTTGAAAGATCTAACAGCATAACATGCTTTGCTTAATTTAACTGTAAGTCCATCAATATGATATTTCCATGACGAGCTATCAACAGCAATACCTAAAAACCGAGTATTTGTGTTGTTAATAATATATTTATTATTATAACTGATATCTAATTGAATTGTTTAGCTATTAGTGGTTCTAAATTGTACATACTGAGTTTTGTTATAATTTAATGACAACAAATTGATATTAAACCATTCATTCAACTGTCTGAAAGAGGAAATAATATCTTTTTTAAAATTTACTAAATTAGGATTACTAACAATAATGCTGGTATCATCAGCAAACATGACTGGCTTAGAGTTATAATTAACTACTTCAGGTAGGTCATTTATGTACAAAAGAAAAAGCACCAGGCAGTCTATTGAAAGGCATCGGACATTAAGAAGAAACATTTCACCTCCATCTTCAGAGTTGAAGAATAAAGAATCCAGCATGAAGTAGGTAGCAAGCAGAGGCTGGCTCTCAATGGACTACATGCCATCATATCCCAGAAGACAGAACTTCCCTTGAATTGTTTCATATGGACTGATATAAAGAAATGAACGGCCCAAGGAAGCATTTTCCTGTCCCCAAGATAGACTCTTCCTTGCACAATCGGCCAAAAAACTCCTTGTTAACACGGCGCCACATCCCAGAAGACTGCTTTCTTCATAGTCACTGCCGTGAAAACCTCAAATCTTACATACTCCTTGTTAACAGATTACAAAGTCTCAGTACCATGTTCACAACATTTCTCCAATGAACACTGAGTGAAATGTAAGATTTGAGGTTTTCACAGCAGTGACTATGAAGAAAGCAGTCTTCTCGGATGTGGTACCGTGTATATGTGGTGTTAACCGACGTTTCGGAGGAACGTATAGCCTCCATCTTCAGGGTAGAAGGAAAAATATAAAAGATCCACAGGCGAAGAGACCGTGAGAACCAGTACAAGCAGTCTGTTCCGAAACGTCGGTTAACACCACATATACACGGTGTCAAATCCCAGAAGACTGCTTTCTTCACTGAGTGAAATGTCATCACTTCATGCCTGAACAGTAAGTGATATGTATTGATACACATTTTCATACGCTATTTTCTAAGACACATTTTAATACTATCTTTTCACCTACAATTAGGTATGAAGTGATCTCCATGAAAAAGAACTACATAGACCAATTATTTTTTCACTGCAGATGTCGCATACCCTGCTCATTCAATATTTCTTTATACAACCCCCTGCATGCCACAAGCTGATCAGATCTGCTCCAGTACCGCACTATTAACTTCCCAAGCCAATGACATCACCTAGTTGATAAATATTTGTATGGTATTTCTGTTGATGGATGTCATCTTGGTGAGGAGGGCAGAATAGGCGTGACTGACTCAAGGCCATTTAAAGGACTGTGAGGTTGTCTATGCAACTGCATTAACGTCCAAACCGTCTTACCATTTCCATCTCGTAGTTCTGGGTGGGGTTGGGTTACAACAATCAAAGCCTGTTCAAAAGTATGCAAAGCACACTTAACAATATGGCAAGATAAGATTGTATACCTGTATATCAGGCATTTCCAACCGTCCATTAATGTCCCTTGATCCTGGAGGTAGTGGCAATCCATTCCCTCGTAGCCACCTAACTCTTGCTCTAAGTGGCCCTTCGTCTCGACACTGGAACACAACCTCCCGATCTACATGATGAGAAGAAAGATCATCACATGAATAAAGGTTGCAAGCAATTTAACAAATTCAGACAGTCAAAAAGAGATACATTAGTATTTTGTATAGTCTGAAAGAGACTTTACATAATAAGTGTTACATAGAGAAATTACATAATTAAACATACAACTGTATCTTAGGTCCTTTATACTAGCTGATGTTCTGATGGTACTTCATTTTTCAGGACAACTTGCCAATATGCAACACTGTTTGCTGTATGCTATGGTATCATATAAAGCTCTGCAAAACAAACCTCTGATGACTAAGCATGTGAAATTAATACTGCATACAAATCCATGAAATGTGAATGTCCTCTCTGTCTACTGACCTAAAATTCATGGCACTGTTGAAACAGATGCAAGAAGTGCACTGGAGATGTGGTCAAGTGAGCTGGTCTACTGCTATAGTAACACTTCGTATCACAAACATGCTTCCAGCTGATGTTAAGATACATCATTCTCAGTCCTTTAACTCATTCACTGTTAGTGAAGAAATATGTTAGCTGTGTCAGCCAACACTAAGATCAATACAGTAAACCCTCGCTAATCCAAATTAATTTGGGGGAGAGGTAATCCAGATTAAGCAATAATTTACATTAATGAAACAAAAGATAGCCCTAAAAGACAAAGAGAAAACTTCTACAATTGTAAATTTTAATATTATAAGTAGTCCTCATGTAAATAAATAAAAATAAATATCACTGCTACAATTTCTTCCTGGGTCTCCTTCATCCATCTCAAGTTAATCTTGGATATTTCCTTGCGTGGTTTCAGTCTTTCCAGCTGCCTTTGACACAGTCTGAAAGTCCTCTTGCTCCAAAATCCCAAGTGTCTGTTAATGTATGTACTCAGCTGTGAACATAATTCTTCACTTTCAAATTTCAATCCTGTTATTAACTGTAACTGGATTAGCAAGGGTTTACTGTACATAATCTTTGAACATATAAATACATGGAGCTGCTATAAAATAAAAGGACTGATGCTCTAAAATCTGTTATTCAGTTAATCACACAATGGAAATGTCATCACCTTCAAAGTGGTCCCCTCCCCAACGCCTATACAGCTCCGTGCAAATTATCCACTGTTGGAAGCAATGCTGCAGGTCCTTTTCTGATAGCTTCTTCATTACCTCCATCATCTCTGCTTTCACTGCATCTACAGACTCGAAACGGGTTCCTTTTAATGCAGACTTGATCTTTGGAAATAAAAAAAAAAGTCACACTGGACTAGGTAAGGTGAGTAGGGTGGTTGTTCCAACATGCAGATCTTGTGCTTCGCCAGAAACGTCTTGATAGACAGTATGTTGTGTGCCAGTGCACTGTCACAGTGAAGAATCCATGAGCCCTTCTTCCATATTTCAGGTCTTTTTCTTCTCACATGTTCACAAAGGAATGTCAAAACCTCCTTATAGCAGACCTGGTTAATGGTCTAACCTTCAGGCACCCAATCAATGTGAATAGTCCCTCAGATATCGAAAAAACGATCATCATTGCTTTGAAATTTGACTTTCTCTTCTGTGCTTTTTTTCTTCTCTTGCCTGGAACTCTTGCAATGCATGGATTGATTGGTCCTTAGTTTCCGAGTCATACTGAAAAAACCATGACTCATCACAAGTTATTACATTTCCTGAAAAGCGTGGATCATTTTCAGTGTTTTGAAGGATGTCAGTACAAATGTTCATTCGAGTTTCCTTTTACTCAGGAGTGAGGATTCTCAGCACCAACTTCGAGCACACATTTTTCATGTTAAAATGTTCATGTAAAATCTGTCAAACGCTTTCTTTATCAGTGTTAGCTAATTCAGCAACTGCTCAAATGCTCAAGGAACGATTTTTTCGAAAAAATTCACCGACTTTTTCAATGTTAGCATCTGTTTTTGATGTGCAAGGCCAACCAGGATGCAGATAATCTTCGATCTCTCACCTTCCCTCTTTAATTTTTTGAACCACTTGAAAACTTGAGTACAAGATAGACATTCATCACCATAAATTTCCATCAACAAACTGTATGTTTCTGTACCATATTTTCCAAGTTTTGCGAGGAATTTCATGACATGTTGCTCTACTTTAATACTTAACATAATTCCGACGGAGGTCAGACACACAGTCCTCTTCAAACAAAGGCTGCTACCACATTGTTGACTATATGACCTTGGAAGTCATAAGGTTGACGGAGAGGAGGGGACAGGCTAATATGCCACCCTGCTCCCTGTTGCCAAGGCCACAAGGAGTCGGCAAAAAAGTCTGTCAGATTATTCTATAGTCACTCCACGTATCCTGTTTGTAAGAATTTAATAAACTTGAGTATGAAGTGCACCTCAACGTTACAGATTAAATGGGAATAGAGACATTTCCATATCAATTGTATAAAATTTACTGAACAGTTTTCAAATACAATAAAATATTACTGATGTATTCAACATGCTTAAATGCTTCAAGGAAGTAGTTTAGTTAAGCAAATTGTCACACAAACTCAATTATGACTAGTACCAAACCCTAGAATCAAACATTGTCAACTGCTGCCCAGCTCATGCCTCAACCCAAACCAATTTTATACATTAAAACCCATTAACACAATGAAGAAAGCAGTCTTCTGGGATTAACACCACATATACACGGTGCCAAATCCCAGAAGACTGCTTTCTTCATAGTCACCGCCGTGAAAGCCTCAAATCTTACCATTAACACAATGTTTGACCCCATACCAAAAATAGCCTTCGGAGTAGCAACTGCACTGTCAGCTGTAATTAGTAATGGTAGGCATCTGTTTCATATGTAACAACAGAATTAGTAAAGCTGCTTTAGTCCAACAAGTCTTGTTCTCTTATGCATTAGCAACATTTGTTTGAGCACAATGCATTTAACCACTGGCAATTTGAAATTAGCAATATTTGGTTGAGTAGCATCTGTTTAACCAATAGCTAATTGTAATTAGCATAATTTTGTTGAGTAGCTTCCAGTTAGCCACTTGCTGGCTGCTTCTGGTTAACAATACATACAGGCGTAGCCTCCACTTAACCACTAGTTGTTATGTGACTGAGTGGCATATGCCTAAACACCAGCCGTTTGTCATTAACAACATTAAGCTCAGTAGCATCCACATGACCACTGGCTGTTTGTCAGCAACATTCAGCTTAGTAGCATCCACATGGCCACTGGCTGTTTGTCAGCAACATTCAGCTGAGTAGCATCCACATGGCCACTGGCTGTTTGTCAGCAACATTCAGCTGAGTAGCATCCACATGGCCACTGGCTGTTTGTCAGCAACATTCAGCTGAGTAGCATCCACATGGCCACTGGCTGTTTGTCAGCAACATTCAGCTGAGCAGCATCCACATGGCCACTGGCTGTTTGTCATTAGCAACATTCAGCTGAGTAGCATCCGCATGGCCACTGGCTGTTTGTCATTAGCAACTTTTACATTCAAGAGAGGGAAGTACTGCCACTCCTTCACTGTTACAGAATACAATACAAAACCCTAGTGCTGTACAAGCATGCAACCAGAATCTGAGCCAACTCAAAACCAGTCAACATAAAATTACTATCTTTTCAGCTACACTTTTCAATAATAAATTTCTCCACAAGTTCTTCACAATGTTCCACTCATTTGGTATAGCAATGAGCTATAGGCCGGATGGTCAAGAAATCTGGTTTGATTCCTGACAGGGGCATGAGAGTCCTTTCTTCCCCAGTGACCAGACTGGCTGTGAGGACCACCCAGCCTCCTGCCCAATGGGTATCATGGTCACCTTCCCTAGGGGTAAAGTGGCCAGGGTGTGAAGCTGATCACTTGTCTCCACCTGGTGTTGAGGTTCAGAATAGGTGGAACTATACCTCCCTACACCACACGTCTTCGTGGCACGCTGCTTAATCAATTAAGTGCAGGGACAACTTTACCTATACCATGCACTTTTAATGCAAGTTACACAACAAGCTCACTTAGACTCCTTTCATTCATTCACTCCTGACAAGACAGTCTTGACACTGTTGCCTAGTTTTGTAGAACAAATGCTTTTAAAAAAGGTGTAATGAATATGCGAATTAAATTATACAATAAATCATCAAATAAAATTAAGGAAATGGAAAAAAAGGGGGGGGATAATTTAAATGAGAGTCCAGATTGTACCTGTTACAGCATATACAAGTATTTTACTATGTAGATGAATATACAGGTATACCATGTTAATTAGCAGAATATGATAATTGAGTTGGTTTGTTTTTATTAATTGTTTCTGTGTTGCATGTAGTGAGAAGAACTTAGTTGAAACATTTACGTTACTTTTAGACGTATCCTGTCAACAGTTTGACTAAAAAGGATGAATAAAATTTTACTGAACTGAATTGAAGTAATTTTGTTTTATTTGTTGATAAGTCTCTATTACTCGTCAAACATGGAACAATAATTCTTCATTAAAATCAAGGGAATTTTACCTATGATACCAAGAGAACCTAGTTATTCCATACTGACAGGCTTCTGTTCAATTTTGTGTGTGTGAAAATAACGGCAATAACCACTTAAGTAAACTTCACCTCTAAAAGAGTTACAGCTTTAACTTATTCCCCTCTAAAATGTGAAGACTGTATCAATCTAATGCTAACAGATGGAAAGACAGCTTCTGTAATTACATCACTCTGTCCACCCTACCACTAATCACAAAGAAGGGGAAAAGCTACCAAATCACTATTTTGGGGCATCACATAAAGGATCAAAAAGAGAAGTGACTCATTAATAAGCACTTCTACTCTCAGGAAATAATTATGTCTTCCATATCAGTGAACAAGTTGTTGAAAAGTCTTGACAGACAAAATATGTGACACTCTACACACAGTCTCTGCAAAGAAGTGTCTTCCAGTGGAGTTTCAGGGATATCAAGCACATTCCAGTTACTTTGGAGCAGCATCTACTGAGGCAAATGATAAAAATAGGTATACATATACATCAAAATCGATCAGATTATTTTGTTTCTGAATGTGATATTAACAGGAGGTATATATACAGACACTACAAAGCTGTCATATTATCTACACAGACCTATATAGTGTCCACTTGGGTTACCTATCTGGTTTCACATTGTAACATGTACACCCACTGCTAGGCAATGGGTCGGTAAACACATTCCCACAAAAAATGCACTCAACAATAGGAGAACATCCACTGCTAGGCAACAGAGCTATAAACATGCATTCTGGACAATAGAAGCCAGTGTTTTCCAAGGGGTCCATGCAAATTGGTTATAAGAAATGTTCAGCAGGACAGGGGCACTAGAAGCAGAGTAGAGGGGAAGACAGAACAGAAGTTGGAAGGGAAGTGAGTGAAGTTCTGAAGGTGCAAGTCCAAAGTGATTGAGAAGAAATGGCAAGAAATGAATCAGACTGTGACAAGAAGACTTCACTTGTGATTTGAAGTTACAGTGAGACTGTGACAAATTCGTTGCCCGGATATGACTATTGGAGACTTAGAATCCTAGTGCATGTGTAACAGTGAACGGGAAAATTGTGCAGAACAGTGATAAAGCTGTACTGGCTTAGTCCCAATCTGTGTGAATGTATAAGGTGCAATAAATCTAATCATTCAATCCAAAACCCAGTCTTATAAATCACCCCAACACCTGACAATATAATTGTAGCTCATGACACAATTTTACTGAAGTAGTTTATATGGACACATGTGCATACAGTGGAGAGGAAAGACACCTTCCATATCTTCATAAACTACATTATAATCCATGATATGCATGCCAACTACACTTCACATATTCACACTAAAATATTATCAGTATTCGCGAAATAGACAGGATGCACTGAAACGAGTTGCTTTTCATGACCTACCACACACCTTACGTTCAAGCAACATGTTATCACTCAGAAATTCATTACAGTGTTAATTCATGCTTGAAAGATAAATTCTGTTACAGACTTCACAAAATTTGCTATCAGTATTAACCCACAATACTTGATGTGTAAGTGTAAATCATGAACAAATATAGAAAAGAGAGTAATGAAAAAGCGGATAAAGCTAAAAAACTGGAACTTGTGAGCGAAGAATGCAGCTTGTGACATGTTTCATATTCAGTGCAGACTGCCCTTATGAATATCTTGAAACGCAGATTGTGTCTGTGTCTGTGTCTCTGTGTGTGTGTGTGTATAACAAGAGCATAAACAACAGATAGTGATGAACTTACTGATACTGACATGCCAATAAAATACACAGCTAAACAAATGAGAGATTTACATTTATATTACATGCCACTAAAGAATGTATGAAAGAGCAGGTTAAGACAGGGAGAGGATAAATACTTTCAAAATCTATAGCAGTTTGAAAATCAGTTGTCTAATCCCAGGGTTCTCTCACCACAAGTTTGCCTCAGCCATCAATCTGCTGAATACTATCTTAACATAAGAGACAAATAAATAACCGCTCAGTTTACATCCTTTCACAACAGCAAGTCTCAACTGTCATGCCACAGCATCTTCCCCTCCCCCCCCAAAAATAACCAGGCAAGAAGTAAAAATATCTGTTGGCTAGTTCAACTCTTTGTAAGGATAACATATGTTTGTTTTAATGACGATAATATCTACTCACCATCAATATGCACAAACATCTGACAACCAAAGGAGTCACTGGCAATTTTCAGAGTTAATAAAATTATGATTCGACTATTACACAGCTGACGATCTTGAAAGATAACCAACTCCTTTCCCACAATACCTACCATGAAACAAGAATCCATGCCTTTTCCCAGACCAAACCATAACATTACATCATCAAGTTGAGTAAAACATATTGCTACTTCTACCCAAACTTTCTAAAGGTTTCCTTATCATACTGTCACGTGTTAGTGACTTGACACAGAATTTGGATCAGTAATTGAATTTACTGAACACCTATAATTTGTAACTACAAATAACTATAACAACCTCACTGACTGATCACTACAACTACAGCACACACAAAGTCTTCTCATTCTGTTGTGTCTTCACTAGTCGTTACTTGGTAGTGGACCCTAACAATGCAATATTATATTTCAACATTCTTTTGCATTGTGGCATCATTTTTAGACTGTAAGTAAACTGTCTATAATGGAACAATAACCTTATATAAAAGACACTAAAAATATATTTGATACACTGAAAGTATACAAAGTATACACATAATGTATACTTTAAAATGTCATTAAACTTATACATTCATTCCTTGTTGCAACATGTCCAGCCACACATATGGGCCACCATCAGGCAACGTTTTTTGTTATTGGGGAGACCACTGCACTGTACATTTTGTCTTCTGTATCACTGGCATTAGATATGCCACAGGTGACACAAATCACGAAGTTCACTGTTATGCATATTCTCTCTTCCTTAATTCAAAGAATTTGTTAATTTGGAGTAATTTTCAAGCAGGTGTTAATTAAACTGAGAATGCCAAAAGTATGAACACTAGGTAGCATAAACACAGTGAGAAAACAATAATATATGAACAGCAGGGAAAATGAAAAACTTCTTAAACCAGCTCTTCTGATATGTCAGTGTACTTAAATGTCTGTACATTCCCTTTTATACAGTGCTACCACAGGCATAATAACTTGTCAAGATATGAATCTTGCAGTCTTAATCTCGTACTTACTTGAATCCATATATAAACTGACTTAACAGTTTATCATTAAAAGCAAAAAATGATTTACTATTACAAACTGGCGTCAGAGGTCTTGGGTATGTATACAGTCTCCTTGAATCCTGTTGCACAGAACTACTATAAAAACGATTTTTTGCAAGGTAAAATGGTGAGCAAATTGTTATTTCGGCAGCATGGTTAATCCACCTCCAATATTATGACTTCAAGTACACATTTCATTTCAACTGAAGCATGTTCCCCATGCAACTGTGGATATTCTAATAAGATCCATGCGCTTGGTTATGTGTTTACATGTAGCAGTGGCAGATAACAAAGATCACAACACTTACCCGATGAAACTGGTTGATCCAGTGAAAAAACCAAAAAATAACAAATGTGTTAGTTGGCAATAAGAATAACTCAGATTCAATACATTTCAAATAATTAAAAATAGCTACTGGTAAAGCATTTTCACACATTGAAACCGGAAACATTACAAACCAAAGTCTGGGATTGTTAGTAATTTTTCCCCCAACAGAGTCTCATTTCTTCATGCCACATGGCACAGCATATCTCTTTTCTATGTGGACTGTTATAACACAGGAATAACAAAAGCTGCTGATTACTCGTTTATAAAAGACTTCCTAGAAATGAAATAACAGTCTATAATATTTCACAGCATCTGCTTAGCTGCCCCAGTGAATCAAGCTGAGTGGCTAGAGATTTAAAATTAAATTCACTAATCTTCCAGACAGAACTTCAAACTGATTTCTGTCCATCTTACCATATCTGGCATCGCTGATTAATGTTCAATGGCTGACATATGACAACTCTGCTTTTCAAATTACAGTTATGGTTTAAATATCAATTTAAAAGGTATTTCATTTCACAACATTGAGGTACATTTTATATGAATGTATATTGTAGATGTTTCAGTTTTATAAAATGCAACAGTTATCCAGTAAAATGCCTCATCCTCAGAAAAATAAAAATATAACATGTAAATACTTATGAGCTTTGATATAGCCCATGGAATGTTGGAAGTTTGTGCAACAATACAATAAATAGGTTAACCGATGTTCTGGAGAAACTCATCATCTTCATATTCAGAGCTGAAAAGTAAGCAAAGCAAGAAACTGTAACAAAGCAGGCACAGTACCTCCAGAATATCTGCTTGTTGTCTGCTTCATGCTAGTTTCTGGAATTCCTAACACTTCAACACTGAACATGGAGGAAATATGTTCCTCCAAAACATTAGATGAGTTTCATTGGACTACAGGGCATATGTCCCAAAAGGCAGAACTCTTCATAACCACCAGTGTCAGAATCTCAAACTGTACAACTGTGAATTAGGTAATTTTCTGGTAACAGTTTGATACATTCAGAACCTAAACCTAAGCCAATCCAATCCAATCAAAACCCTACTTTCTTACCATGCCTGTTAGGCATATCTTCTCATCTCCATCTTAGCCTGCCATGGGAAACTTTTCATGACAGCTCTCACATTTCTGTACTGTCCTTGCTTTCCCATCTGAGGCTACATGTATACCTAATTTAATCCCCTTCAATCACGTACCTAACAGTATGCCTATCAGACGGGAACAAATCACCAAGTTCTTCATAAAATCTTCCTGCTGACTTAGCTCATTTTAGTGAATTGGAAATTTTGTTTCACAACTCAACACTGGTTCCCTTTCCATGCATAATTATACATCTTTAATTATTGTCTTAAAGTAAATAGCTATGAAACAGTACAGTATGACAAAACTATACACTTACTTTCTTCTATGACTTGATCTTCTGGATAAGTTTTCAAGTTCAGTCCACCAGGTGAAGTTGGTGCTGAGGAAATAATAGAGATCACTCAATCAGTACACACTAATTCAAGTTTTATTTAAGCATTACAAATAAGTAGGGTATTTGTTCTTAGAAAGGGTACACAAGACTGTGCAACAGAAATAGCTCCCCCATCACCAAGGAAAAGGCCAGATATGTTTACGCAACCAAATTAGCAATTTTCAAGCCCAAATACATTCAACCATTCAATGCGACAGTATCTGAAAACATTTTACAACATGAGAATGCTCAGCATTCAGTGTTCAGTTGAAATTCTAACAGAACTTACTCATCTCACACTTTGATTCAAAGCCCTTGAATTTTAAAATGATAATTCTTTCTCTGTAGAATGATGCAGACTCATATTACAAAAGTCTACGTGTCTGTAATTTGTGAAGCCTAATGGCAGTCCTAAAATAATGTACATATGAACAGCTTTTAGTAGAAGCACCCTATACAAGTGACGGAATTCCAGAGTGTAGAATTTTCAGATACTTATTAGGGGGCACATAACAAAAACAGTATTTTCATGTACTCCAAACACTCTTTGAAGGAGATGAAATACCTATACTTTCCATGATCCTGTTTTGTTTTGATATGATGAATGTTTTTGATTCAATCATGAATTATTCATTGAATAATACTCAATAAAGGATTCTTCTCCCCATGACTAATGCAGAGAATTTTTCCAACAGCATATCTTGAAAGAGCAAATTTGGTTTCATTGCGCTCAAAATGCAGCATTTTGCATTCTGTTAAACCATTTGAACTGTCACTAACAGCCATACCAGAGCGAACATAACCTAAATCATTTGTATTGTCACTATCAGCCAGATAGAGTGAACATACCCTGAGACTGCAGAATAATTCTGACCTGCTCTATTTATTTCATCTGCATGTGGTTATCTATGTATATACACACACAAATTCATATATCACATATATACAAGGTGCTTCAAATATGACTGGGACTGATTTGTATGTAAACAAGCCGCACTGTGCAGCAGCTGTGCAACCTTGAGAGAGTGAAGCCACAACCTCCACCCTCCTTCCTGTTTCAGTTAGAACCTGTTCAGTCCTGTCTGGGAGTTGCTAGAATGATGAGAGAACAGAAAGTACAGCGGAGCGTGGAACACTACATTGTGATCAAATTCCTCGTTGGAGAAAACGTCTCGTCCGCTGAAATTCACGACAGACTCCAATAACAGTATGGGGAAGAGTCTCTCTCATGGACCCATGTGTTTGAGTGGTATAAGTGCTTCAGAGAGGGCAGAGAGCGCGTGGAGAATGAAGAGCATGATGATCGGCGGTGAACATCCATCACTGAGACAAATACTGATCATGTAGATGCGCTTATTCATGAGAATAGGCACATCACTTGGAGCAGTGCTGTCCCTCAGTGCTGGTAGTGTAGAAGACATCGTGAAATACCATCTGCACTATCGCAAGGTGAATGCACGGTGGGTACCATGCACTTTGACAGATGTAAACAAAATGGTGCACATGCAAGCTGCCAGTCGTCTCCTACAACAGTTTGGGGACGAAGGTGATGCATTTTTGAAGTCTATAGTGACCACCAATGAAGTATGGGTGCACTGCTTCATTCCCGAGTCCCAGCAGTCATCACGCGAATGGCGGCATACCAGTTCTCCCAAACCCAAGAGCGCGCGGAGGAGCCTTTTGGCAGGAAAAGTGATGGCAACGTTCTTCTGGGACTGTCAGGGGGTTATCCATGTAGACTTTCTGACAGATGCCAGAAAATTCGATGCAGCTTATTACTCAGACCTCCTGGCAACAGATGTGAAGGAAAAGTTCCAATCCAAGCGGAAGACAGGTGGAAAGCAGGCAGCCTTCCTTCAAGACAATGCACACTCCCATACGGCCAAAATAGCAATGGAAACCCTCTGGAAATTGAAATGGAACCTTCTGACACATCCGCTGTACAGTCCCGATTTGGCCCCAAGTAATTTATACCTGAAGAAAGTCGTCTTCTGGGTTTTGGCCAACATTTCGGAGGAACGTATCGCCTCCATCTTCGGAGCAGGCGAATGGCTTGTGAATGCAGAGAGCAGTAGCGTAATGATTAGGAAGTGAAAGGCCAAAACGAAGAATACACGGCGCCAAAACCCAGAAGGCGACTTTCTTCATAGTCATCGCCGTGAAAACCTCAAAACTTACATGATTTATACCTCTTCGGGAGGCTCAAATCAGACTTGAGACTTGCAAGGCATGCATGCGGTTTGTGGAGGACAACACTGTCATCCAGACTGCTCGGGAGTGGATACGCCTCCAACCACAAGCCTTTTTTGAAAACGCATCAGGATGCTTCCAGAACGTTGGGAAAAATGTGTTCAACTCTTGGGGGGGGGGGACCGTTTAAGACTGACATGTGCAAGTAAATGTTTGGCAATTATGGTTTTTTTAAAAAAAAAACAGTCCCAGTCATATTTGAACCACATTGTACATAACATAATAAAAATGCCATGCAGTACACTCAACAGACCAGCTGTTAATATTGATTATAATCAATCAGTTATAGACACCAACAAATAAAAACAATCAAACAGACCACTATTTTATTATTCTAAATAAAATGTCAGTGGGAAAAGAAAACATTTGTACATTGTGTGTGTGTGTGTGCGCGCGCGTGTGCGTGCGCGCGCATGTGTGTGGGTGGGTGGGTGTGCACACGCGCGTGCATGTGTGTATGTATGTACATACGTACATATGCATGCATGCTGTTTGATGTTAAAAAATGAAACTTGTTTCACTTTTCAACCGAACTATTCTACAAAAACAACTTCTGAAGAGCCATCACTGACAGAAAGAGCAAGAAATAGAGTGACAGATAATTATACAACCATAGGACATGACAATTCAATACAAACATAAGACAAAGCAGGAACAATCTGCCTCAGGGTCAGATGAGGCACCGCAGAGAATTATGTCCTGGTGATAACATCAGAAACCAAATTGAAACTGTCAACAGCTCAGCACATTCATATCATAGAACACTGCCCTTATCACCTCAACAAATGATAACAGACTCTAGTTCAGTCCTGCAACTGAGAACATGTGATGACAATATTGCCACAAGAAACAGGATACTACACTGATCACAAACAGCATCAGTACAATTATGGGATTATACACAAACTACAATTAAAATTAAGAAACTATTTCCTTTGGTTTATTACAATAATGGCGTTTAAACAGGGAGCTCCAATCCTATTAATATTCTGTACAGTATGCAATGGTTAATTAACTACCAACTGTATTTAATCTCATTAATCTACAATTACTGGTTCAAATGAAACCTTATCATCATTTGATGATGGAACTGAATTTGCTATTGCAATAGTCTGATCACTTTCGGAACTACATTCTGAAGTCAGATTTAGAAATACGGTAGACTTGTTTCTACATGAACAGCATATTTCTGAACAAACCTGTCTCTTAAGTTTTAGAAATGTAATCTAGTTAAAGCATGCATACTTCCTTGCATCTGTCATATTTTGTGCACACGTCTTCAAAAGTTGGTCTGATGGGGAAAGAAGATATGTTTAAAAATGATTTTAGAACCATGCTTTTCTGTGTGAAGGTCTGGCTGACTATTCTGATCTATGTACATAATGATAGTATTAAAGAATGTTGTAGCAACATAAGCACTATATAATAAACAAATATGCCTTTTCATTTGTACATTTCTAGCTAAGCATCATAGTCTACAAAGAGATTGTCATGGTATGTGTGTCTGTATCCTCCATAATAACATTTCAAGAGTACACCGAATTTTATGGAACCAAGTACTCATATTCTCTCAGAGGGCCAGTTCCTTTGTTCTATAAGGTATATTTCTTTCAGTGCCATCTACTGAATACATGGTCATGGAAAACTTATTTGTGTACATGAAATAAATAGTGTAAGTACAATGGACCAATTTACAGTAACTTGCAGATACATATGACTGGGTAAGAACTGGTTCGATGATATGATTATTTGTATTTCTCGACATTATTCATTGTCCTGTTTTTTCTTTTTTTAACACATGTTAAAAAACTTGATTCTGCCTCTGAAACGCTGTGTGTTTCAAATACTTTAAGGTTCATATTCATATTCATATTCATATTCATATTTATTTGATATAAGGTTGATGGATAATGGCCAGAAACACAATAATTGTATTAATATACCACCATCAGAAACCTTCTTTCAAATTTGTTCTGGCAACCATAAGCCCAAAACTTTACACTGTTCTTAGTTGACAGGGCAAAAGACGTCTACATCTTTCCCATGGGAACATACAACACTAACTATAACCTAACATGTGCTCAGCTAGTTAAGAAATTTAAAGATTTGTTACTGTGATCAAGAGAGCCCATGACTCTTCCTCATCCAGATCCCACACTCACCCACTCCATTCCTTTAAGATCCATTTTAATATTATGTTCCCATCTATGTATGTCTTCTAAATGCCCTTGTGGTTTTTATTCCAGTATTCCACATATACCCTCCACAAACCCTATGCCATATCTGTCTCACCCTCTTTGGGCTGATAACCATAATAATATCTAAAGATGAGTTAAAATTATTAATTACGGAATTTTCTTCAGCCTCTTCATACATACTCCTTCTCAGACACAAATATTCACCTCAGCACCCTGTTCACAAACACAATGTCAATCTATATTCCTCTGAACATGTGACAGATCACATTTCACACCTACAGAAATCATGCAAGGTTATAGATTTTTTTAAATCTAATCTGCTCTGCTTCCTTGTGGATATAATTTTGAGTTCTTACTACTGTGCTAAGTAACTGTCTTATGTATTATGATTCTGTTCTGCATTCTGATCAGTTTTCTTTGTATTTATTTCTACACCAATATCCATTAACAGCATGAAATACACGAAAATTAATTGTTCCCTATGCGCCTAACACACAAAGACGGACAATAAGAGAGGGTGTCCAAATTGAACTAGTTTCATAGCATCAGAGTGCAGTGAATTGAAACTGGTCAAGCAAGAATTACCATAAGTTCTCTTCTCTCACTACACCAAATTTCATTCATTTAGCTACAATGTTTTATCAGACATAATGTACAAGGGATATGTATTTCACTTAATCACTGCTATTTTCTATTTAAGTAAAAATACCCTTATAAAAACTTCCATATTTTCCTAAGAAATTCCAGAATATTGCAATGAAGGTAGTGGTGACGGAGATACTTAGAGCTTGAAAACTTAAAGGGTTCGTAGGATACCTCAAAAGAGTAGGGCGTAATGTAACACTGAGTTTCACAGAATTCAACCAATAGGATGAAAAATTATTATGGACAACATACAGACAACATTAATCACACAGATCAGCTGGAAAATGATACAAACACAAAGCATGATGCTCTGTAGGTCTTGAGAAATTGTCTTGCTGTTCAGATATGCATTTTTCAGGACATCATCAAAAGATGCAGTAGTCTAATTTGATTAGAGTTTAGTAACAAAAATATGGTTCTTACAGCTTGCAGTTAGGTATCTGAAGCATCTTACACTGCACTGTGACAGCATTTCAAGTGCTGAAGATCACAGTGTCCATTACTTCATAATGAATAACATTTTAGTAGATTATGTACTCTGAATAAACAGTAAGGATTCAAACAGTTATGCACTGTGTGACTTCTGAACTATGAAGATCTTAAAAAAGGAACAACTAGAAGTAGGGATATTCCGACAGACAATTGAAATTTCTGCAACAGGAATATAATTAAATACACCATGTAAAAATTAATTTTAATTTAACACGCTTAAAGCCCAGAAAGTAAAGACAGAATCAGCAATAAATCTAGAAATGTTTATTTTCAAATAATTCTATTTTAGGTTACTTCTTACACAGTCCCCTCGATAGCAGGACACATGTTCATTCAACTGCTCTACTGTTTTTATTTTTTGTGGTAAAAAGTTACTTTTGCTTGTCAAGAAGCAAAAGCTTCATAGTTATTTTAATTTCACCACTGCTCTGTAACTTTTTATCCTAAGTGGATCAAACATCCAGATGAGTGAGACAAAGTGCTATAGCTTGAGTGCACAGTGGATGTGGCATGACCTCTTATGCTCCTTTGGTTAAATTATGATGGGCAATACCACAAAGCAGAACACTCTCCTTTGCTTTCCATGCTGTTCCTCGTGTGTGTGGGAACATCCCACATATGCAGTTTCGCCGGTCTAACAGACAGTACTCACTCCTAGGTCAATATCACATTGCCGCACATTGCTGCCGACGCTCATATTTATACAGCACTTGATGTCCAACCCACCTGTAAATCATCACATGCACTAACCAATCACATTGCTGCCAACGCTCGTATTTATACAGCACTCGCTGTCCAGCCCACCTTTGCATCATCACGTGCGCTAGCCAATTTGCGCTCACAATCGCAACTGCAAGTTTCGCTCCACCCATCAAGCATGGTATAAAAGGTGGAGCCCAAAGCTCGCAATCATCAGTGATCACATTCAGTCCAAAGCAATCAGTCATCAGAGTCATCAGCTCATCACTGCGCCAAGACAGCTGTCGCAACTCTCAAGCAACCACGCTCTGTAACCAGGCAACTGACGTGGTTCCCGCAAGTCTCCAGCGACCACGCTCTGCGACCAGGCAACTAACACAGCTGCCGCAACTCCAGCAACCACACTCTGCGACCAGGCTGCTAACATAGTTGCCGCAAGTCTCCAGCGCACGCATGGTGGAACAAACGGCCCTTTTCAGGGCCCGCAAACTTTTCAAAGTGGTTGTCTATTGGAACATTGACAATGCCACAAGTGTAACTGGCTCTATGTCATTATCAAGCAGCATATGACAATGGAAGCATGGTCACTTACATATGGAGTCTCATGTAATGACTGAAAATTACACTTTTCATATCCTAAACAAAGTCAGCATAACTTTGCAAGCTCATGCCTCTATAACGACCTGCTCTCAGTTCAGTTTCCCATTGAAGTAATGCAGTTTTAAACAACTACATCCAGCTTTACACCAATTTGCAATGAATAACCTCTCTAATTTTCCCAGTTTCAGCTGTGGAACTGCTCTGTGGCCATGCATATGGCAGCTTATAGAGAAAAAGGTTACAAAAGGACATGCCCAGCTGCCAGTTTCATATGATGCAGTATACCAAGATTGCATTGTATTCCATTATGCATTTACCATATTTACAAACATGGGTTTATTTTAGGTGCTCAGATGGGTTTACACATACAGGCCCCCAAAATAATAGATTCCACTTTCATTCAGAACATGCTTTGCTACAGTGGCCCTGTACCTGAGCTGTTTTAACCTTACCATACATCATTTAAATTACCCTGTACACACTCATGACTAGGGCAGTTTTCATTTGGAAGTTCAGTGTTCCACAGCAGGTCACAAAATAATTTGTGCTTAAAACATTCTTTGGCCTACTGTCTTAAAACAGAAACTAAAATCTTAATAATGAATCCATTTACTTCTGTAGGAAATTTTGAAGCAATTGGCTTTAGATATGCAACTTTCTTTACATTCCTGTGCAATTAGTCTAACAATTCAAAGGTTCTCTTCTTCATTGCAGTTTTGGGAAAGTGCATATCACAGTTTTGCAGCAGATGTGATACTGCTGACATCATACTAGTGCTCACTTTGTCAAGAAGCACTCATGGGTTACTTGGACCAAATGTTTGTGGATGGACATATTTACTACATGAGTATTTCTGTTGACAAAAGGAAACAGTTATTTTATACCTAACTCATACAACTAGAAGCTTGCAGAAGCAAACTCATGCTAACCACACTTTATGAATGGTTCAGCGAAAAAACGTACTGTTTATAAATTCCCTTATAAAAATATAAGAAAAAAACACACACACATAAGAACTGATGTAATTCTGCCACTGATTTTACCTCATATTCAATGATCAGTTTGATGAACCTGCCATAATATCTAAACGAAAGAACTCAAACCCAGGACAGCTACCATGCAATTAACAACTTCCTGTCACTCTCTGAAGTAGCCAGAACATCTTGCAAGCATGACTGGCACATATCTACAATGGAGTAATTAGAAACATGTGTGACATCTATAGACATCATAGCTACTATAATATATGGTACCACATGACGTTTATAAATATCATAACCATTTGATCGGTTAAAAGAAAAATCTTGTACCACAATTGCCAACAGAAGACAGAACAGCAGAATAGAAAAAGGCCCAACAGAGAGGACAGGGCTAGAACATCAGTCTTTCCTGTTTGTATTTATGGATCTGACTCCAGACAGAAATCTTTCTGTGAATATTCAGAACTGTGTGCATAACTGTGAGAATCCTTCCTGGTGATACACCAACTAGTGTTAACTCATTGTGTCGATAGTGAGTCGTTATTTGGCTCTCCTCTGAGCTCTGCAACTTACAACAATCTAATTCATCGCTGGGATCAAGAGGACAATCAATCCTGCCATCACAACGTTTCCTACGGGGTATGCACGGGCCGTTCTCACATCGGAATTCTGCATATGAGCACGTCTTCTTAACCTCTTCAGCAACAATCAATCACAATATTGAAAAATATCCATTTTAAAACGACTGGTCACACAAAGAACCTTAACCTAGAGTTACAAACATAAAAAATGCTTTCAAAATGGCCACATAATCTTGTCCCAATTAAGTTCTAATTTTCTTAATCTCAGACAAGTGTTATGTGGTGGGAATGTTCAAAAATAAGACTCCAATTTCCTTCTAACAAGGGTTCTTGGAACCCCTCAGCAAAATGTAGCAAAGGGCATGGTATTCCTCATATTCACAAAGTTTTGGCTTCATAAGAGGTCAGGAATTAGGAAAGTATGCAGAGAAGTCTGCATCAGATCAAGGCAGTCTTGAATTCGAGACCTTCAGCATAGGAGGGCAGTGTAAGTAGACCACTGGGTCTGTAAAGTTTTGAAATGAAATGGGTGGATAACGTCACAGTTTTCACAAGAATCTGTATTTCAGCCTCCTGTTAAAGAAAATCAGCTGAGAACAATATTTAATAACATGCAATATACCAGAGTTCTGATTAATGCCTACATAATACTATACAAACTCCATCACTAGCCTCTTTCAAACAAATGCAATGCATTACACAGACCAAGAAATTCTTACTCATAAATTACTAAATAGCACTGAAAGCAGAGATACACAGCCATATGGCAAATTCAATGTAACTACAGTTCTGCTCATTAAGACAGCAATTTGAAGCTTATGATCCTCAACACAACAGCCAAACTACTCTGGGAACATATAAGTCAATTAAAACACCTTATATAAAAGCTTGATGATGGCAGAATACATGTGTGACCAATCTATCAGACTCACATAACTACCAATTTAATTTTCTATATATTTCAAATGTGATCACTGGGATCAAGTTAGGATCAAGAGCTGAACTTATATTATGAAAGCTCTGTTCATGAATTACTGGGTTTTTGGACTTCGTCCATCATCCAGTATTCTAGACACTAGAAAACACAACGTTTCAGTAATTTGATCGGCTTCTGTCCTAAAGTGAGGGAGGAGACACCTACTATGTTGGGGTCCCTTGGAAAGAACTAACAGATCCAGTTTCTGAAACGTTATGTTTACCACTTTGTGAATTCCAGACAGAAAAGTCCAAACCCTCAGTAATTCTGAGTATCATACACCCTCGCCAGAACCCTTCAGAATCTACTCTCTTCATGAGCTGGTGTGTCCTTGATTTTTTTTCCCATTTCCATTTATTTACATGCCACAAATCCATTACAAGGTCACAGGACCCAGGATATAGACAATAGCCCAATATAACAAACAATATATGATATAAACAAGTATGTATTCATTATAAATTTGTAATAAAAATATAACGTAAATATAAAATTTACAAGTCACTTTTCAATGCATGACATAATTTAATCTATAGTTCCACATACAATTTGAATGAGGATATTATAAGCACATGATCATTCAACTTGTGTATGCATCACATAAGGACGGAATTATTCAAGGGACTTTATGGGGTACATACTTCATCACTGTGATGGACTGTCTAAAATGGATTTTGTTAACTTGAAGATACAATTTCTAGACTTCCTGCACAGCATCAATCATACCTAACTCAAGAACTGAAGTGACAGTACATACGATGGGGTACCCAAAAGAAACTGAACTAATTTTTTTGTGGGCAGAGCTTTTGTAGTACCGCATTTTGCTGCTATGAGCACATAGAGCTAACATTCCTGAGTCGATAAGCCGACTAAAATTGCTTCAGAAGGTAAGGACTAGTTTCGGCAGAGTTTATAGTGACAACTGTTTTGTGTCATCATCGTTTTTGCAATGGCTGATTTTCGTGAACAGCGTATGGCAGTGAAATCCTGCTTTTTGCTCGGGAAAAGTGGAACACAGAAACTCTTGAAATGTTAAAAACAGCGTACAAGGACGATGCTATGGCGAAAACTCAAGTGTTTGAGTGGTTTTCCCATTTAAAAAATGGTGAAATGTCAATTGATGACAAACCTCGTTCTGGTCGTCCTTCCACGGGTCAAACACATGAAAATGTTGAAAAAATTCGTGAAATCATCAAGGAAGATCGACGACGGACCATTGAAGAAATTGTGGAGCTGTCGGGAGTGACTTGGAGCTCAGCGGCCAGATTTGTGGCAGTCGGGTGACTGGTTTTTCCATCATGACAATGCCCCTGCTCACACAGCCCTGTCTGTATGATAATTCTTGACCAGAAATGGTATGACCCCCGTTCCTCACCCTCCATACTCACCCGACCTTGCCCCGTGCGACTTTTTTTTGTTTCCTCGAATGAAAAGAGACATGAAAGGAAAAAACGACGGAGGCACTGTCAAGTATCTCAAAAGATGAATTTAGACAATGTTTTGAAAAATGGAATACAAGACTAGACAAGTGTATTAGTGTAAGTGGAGAGTACTTTGAATGGGATTGAAGGTTTGTGCTTAAAATTTGAATAAATGAGTTTAAAAAAAATAAGTTGGGTTCCTTTGGGTACCCCCTCGTATTTCCTAGCTTAATGGACAGAAACATGTGACTACCTGAACGATATATCGTTAATAATGATGAAGTTACAAAATCTTGGAGTTACTGTATTCCTGCTTCTAAATTATGCAAAATGTGAAAGCTAGTAATAGTCTCACAAGACTTTATCATTCTCATGACAAGGTACACTGTTTAATGTAATTCTGTGGTCAGCTGTGGGCAATGGGGTTATGTTAATTTACTCGTATACTGCATACATGATTTCGGATTCTTTCATCTTCCCTCTGCGTTTCTAAAAAGTGAGTACCAGTCTGGGCATGAAAGAGTATGTTTGTAGATATGTAAGCCACATTTCCTTCCTTTCAATATCTCCCTATTGCATGTTCTTTGAATGACTACAATGAATGTGGCAAGTGTGAGGCATGGGCTAGAACAGGTGTAGTCCTCAATGTTTAAACATATAAATTAAATGATATGTAATTTTTGTTTAATATGCAATTACTGTGCCTGAATCTTCAGAAGTGAAACAACTAGATACCTCACTGCCACTGGTGTACAACTCACCTCTTGCACAAGGTGAAAGTTGCATATTATAACCCATAATATCAGATCTCAGACAGAACTGATCTAATCAGCAAAGACAAATAACGCAGTGGGTTTTACAGGTGCTCTACCTGTTTTGGCTTAAAACCATTGGTCATTATAGCACCATTATTTGATTAACATTTTCAAAATTTGACACCATCTGCTTTCTTTAAAATACATGTTCAATCTGCAATACACGCATTAGTTCACAACACCGGTACAATAATCTTACATCTGCCATCAACAAACTTAATCTAGCAGCACCTCATGGACAGAAGCCTGGAAGTCAAGATACTTATAAAATTCCCAATAACATAATGCAGCCAGCGATGCTGGAATGATCACCAATTGCAGGTACAACATAAAATATCTGTGATGCCATACAACTGAACAATAACACCAACTTGTATTTTTTGTGCAGTACACTGCCTACAGCATGGGTAATGTGGGTTCTGCTCTAGTGCTTAACAAGGGCCCACTTTCCTTCAATCCTAACACACCCAACCTGACTCCAAAATGTAATATCCACATGATGGATAACAACCACAGAAAATACTCCACTGATTAGATTTCATATAGATGGAGGCAATCTTGACCTGTCTGAATTTTCCACAGGCTGCTTTGGGTATGTGGGCTGTAGTCTGCCACACCAAATTTATAACAACAATAAATACTGTAATTATTTTCATTAATTTACAATATTATTTGAATGTGAAGAACAGATGTAAAATATAACAGTGTCATGCTTAGCTATGAACTGGTCACATAACTGAACATTCATTTTTATCCACAGGGCCGCCAATCTTTTTGAAACTAACACTACAACAGTCTCTAAAAATAATAATACACAATTCCAAGTTTAGTGTACACTGTGTTTGATTGAGACTCGCTGTGGGTGCAATAAAGCTAGGAAATAGTGAAGAGATATCAAGTAAATTAAAGCATTCTGAAGAAGAACACAACTAAGCAGAATAGATAAAAGAAGCACTAATCTTGTAGTCAGACTAAAAATTAAAAAATTCATACATGTATGCACAAAACTAAAGACATGAAACACACATCAAATGAGGAAAGACTATACTGAATGAATGCAAGTAAAAAACAAAGCAATAGTAACTGAACTCACCACAATTGGTCTCATCTGAGAAATCTTGGCAGTCAAACCGACCATCACAGATGGCTGACGAAGGTATGCACTGTCCTGCAGTGCGACATGGTGACTGACCTGGGGGACAGGTAATGGGAGGTCGGGTAGTGATAAGAGGTGGAGGGCGTGCTGTCGCTGTGAACAAGATCAAAACAAAATCATCATCTATGGAAACTACAATCAACTTGGGGGGGGGGGGATGAAAGCTTTCTGAGCACCCCTTCATCCTGCTCCACACTAACATTTATTCTGCTAGACACAAAGCCACTGTTCAGCATGGCACCTGTTGGTCATACACAGAAAGAAAATGTAATACAGTTCTTATACAAAGATTTATTGATTGATTCAATTATTGACCGACCAACCTAACTTAAAGTGCTTTAAATTACCAAGCAATCTACTAAATAGCAACATCTTTACTATTAGAACCTTAATGTTCAAAGATGGTAATACAAAAGCACAACAGTTCAATTCTTCTAAGTTCAATCATCATGCTTGCTTTCCATGTGGTGTCCACACTATTTCCTCCATATAACTGCATCTATCTCAAATCTGTGATCAGTAGAAGGTTCAGTGGAATTCTACTGACTACAAGTGTCACATCCCGCAACAAAGTACTCTTTGTAGTTGCTGCTGCAGCAGCTTCAGATCTAATGCAATTATGTCATCTCTTTCAGGCCCACTATTTCCTTTCCATATATTTGCAATTTACATTTTTCCTTCAAAGTAAAGGCTTACATACTGATCTCTAAAACTAAACTCTACTTGGGCAGAATGAAGACAATTCATGCACATGGACAAAGGGAAAGACAACTTTAATAAGTTAGAAAGTTCTGCTTATAGCAATATGCAGACAGTTAGTCTTGCACTGAATCAAAGGCCTCACACTTGTTTGAAGAGAGAAGAACAATATGTAACTACAATACTCAGCGGCCTCTGTAGTCTAGAGGTAACGTTCCCACCTCATGACTCGTGGTACGCGGGTTCAAATACCCGGCGGAGGTCGTCGAATTTTTAAGGGCGGAAAAATTCAGGGAACAAGTCCTCCGGGAGGTACTTTAAGCTGTGTGTCCCGTGTTTTAACTTTACGGCATGTAAAAGAACCTCATATCCCCAAAGGGGATCACTGAGCCAAATTCCAGGACATTTCCCGCCCAACAATAGCCTCTAAGGCCTCCGATAGATGGGGGAAGCATTATAGACACCACTAAGGAAGTGGCCGAACTCGCTTGCTCGGCAGGACTGATGGTACGCACCATTTATCAGTAGGGTATAGAGACTGGTAGAATATCATAGAGGGAAGCACAACAGATCAAACTGGTCGCGGTGCATGGGGAAACCCACCCTCTCTAAATAACTAACTAACTAACTAACTAACTAACTAACTACAACACTCACATAACCTTAATTTGCTTCAGAAGTTAACTTTAATCAAAGTACTGACAATGGATACATATTTTTAGGGAGATTTATTTTACCAAAATTTCTGTTACAGTGTTTCCGGGTTTCAGTAAGGGTACAACAAAACACTCACGGCAATCTTCTTCATCACTCCCGTCGCGACAGTCAATACGTCGATTGCAACGACTTAACAGGCTAATACATTCACCAGATCCACACTGAAATTCGCTGGATAAGCAACCTGTCAAATGAAATAAAACTTCTATGACTTAAAATTATCCCTTTAGTTTAAAGAATGGGGAGATGAAATTACTGCAAACTCCCATGCAACCATGCCAGGAGATAACATTCCTCCATTCACTACACCATCAGCACAAAACTAAATGAGACATTATGTCTCAAAATGCAAAAAAGTGGAAAATGGGGTATATTTCTTCATGCATTTGTAACACCAATCACAAAGTGATTCATGACAGGAAAAACAAAACCATCTTGCATCTAAATCAAGTGTAAATTTTTTCACTCTATTTATAGGCACAGTTATGTCATAAAACACTTCACTCTAGAATCTGCTTTAGGAACTTTAAACTGTGAAACATTTTCTGCTACATAAGAAAACAGATATTAAATGTTAATCCCAAGACTCGCATTTATGAAGTATCCAAGAAATGGTATGTTGAATCCAAATATGTATATAACATACAATATTTTCTGCCAAACTTCAACTTTGAAAAAATACTAATTTAAAGCAGTGAAGAGCTAACTGCAAAAACAGTAAGATTATAAATTTGATCCCTCAAAGAAATCTTTATAAAAATAATTAATAACATTTCAATGCACCATAATAATTTTTAATATTCTTTTGATTCCCTGAATATAATAAACTAAACGAATTACAATACAACACATACCAAGTAACAAGAGAAGCCAACAAATTTACAAGGAAACAAATTTATAAATGTGAGCCTGAAATTTGACAGACCAAAGACTTCCTGTATTTTTCATACTTCTCTATACCAGTTGAAACGTACACTACACATTTTATCAAACTTGCTGAAAACAGCTCACTCTGTCATGGCTTAAAACTGATCCAGGACTGGAGCATATCTGAAATCCAAATAATTCATTGGCACAGCTGCCTATCAAATGCTGTCCTTCAGCAATTACACACACTTCTGGTAGAACTAGTACAGATGTTTGAAGAATTCAATGCAATCAATCAATCAATCAAAGTCGCCTGAACCTCCATCAGATACATGCACTCTGAAGCCTTCAGCTGGTCCTTCAACCACAGAAGGAAGTGAAAATCATGAGCACAGCACAGGAGTATGCCGATGGTGAGATGTGCTGCAAAACCAGCCACCAATAAAACGAGGCATTTTCATATAGAAGCACCCAGCCTTTTGCTACACACATTTGAGACACTCTTATACACAGACAGCACCTCTCTCTTTCTTTACAGTAATAAACTTGGGAATAATGTCAAACTCACTAAAGCAGACTTCCAAGAATAGCTTCCACTTATGCAATCCTACCAGAATTTCTTGGCTTTCAACAACAACAAAAAAAACAACAACAACAACAACCTGTTATTTCTGTTAGTTCTTCCAGGCTTCATCACCTGAAACAATCTGACGGGGAAGTCAGGACTGTCATCTGCTGTGCAGATGAGCTCACAGTGATCCCCATGCCATCACTGCAATATTCCTGCATTGGCAGTGCGGTTCAATCTGTTGACAATCACTTCTGCCATCTAATGATGATTACAGCATATGTGTGAATCATCTTATGACAATTCACAACCATATATAAAACTGTTGCTGCTGCTATTACATGATGAGTTAAACTGCTAAGCATGATTGTTTCAACACAAAACTTTGTGGACTTCAGCAGTGTTTGTCTGTGATATGGCATCAAAAGTATCTGCAGCATTTCCACACCTAACCAGGTTAGCGCATTCCATGAGTCTATCACTTCCCCATTCTGTGACATCCCACACTCAGCTCTCTTCTGTAACCTACCATGCTCAGCAGTCCAACAGCAACATCATGAGGAGACGCCTACCTCCCATAACTGTATTCACTTCAGTCCTGGATCATTTTAAGTCTTCCATATATTAAAAGATACTGACATACAGCAACGTTTGTATATCAATGAGTATTTAATGGCTTCTGTAAAAGGGAATTTTAAATCGTCACTGAACACACAAAATACTGTCAGAAAGAACATTTCTGAACCTAAGTCGCTGACACAGGCAGACATAAACTCCCTATTTTATGCTGATTATTCTGCTCATTAAATAATGTGTATGGTGCATAACACTTCATACCACATGTATAAAAGAGACAAGAAATTCTTTGTACAAGGATTTCATCTGATTTATATGTCACTGTAGCAAAAATGGAAGTTTCTAACTGAAATAAAAGTTAAAAAGGTAACTACTCATCCATAATGCTCGATCAATAAAGAACTAACAGCTATTCAGATAACAGAATGATGACAATACACCCATTCATTATGCTCAATTGATCTCCATGAGCACAAAGAAAAGAAAACTCATTCATGGAACTTGATACAACAGAAAATAAACATATTAGCTAGGAGAGTTGAAGGGCAGATCATAATATGTATTAACAGATGACATCAATATATTGTTATTCACAACACCTTGCTAACTCAACTCTTGAAGAGTTAGGAATATAGTGCACCCATAAAACAATGGTATGTAAAAGTATAAAACTGGTGCTTCTGGCCAAGAGCATTACAACAGAACTACTCCCACTTACAAGAATACTCATACATTACAATTCAATCAATGAAGACCATTTTTTGTTAGGACTCATGCTTTCAACTTATACAGTCTTCCAGGCCTCTGCCTGCCTTGGCAGTGGAAGTACGTCATTTCTTACCTGGGTTGTATGAGTGTGCACACACATGTATATTTCAGCAAGGATGATGATCTGTAGAGGGGACATACAGCTTACAGAGGGGTGCAAATCACAATGGGGACCTAGTATTCCTCACAAATATCTGTCTTTGTCAAAGGAGAAGGAAGCCAACATATGCTAAATATTTCTATATTTCCTAATTCTGCTCCTCTGTTTCATGCACAAAATTATTACAGAAAACTCAAACAGCACTCTAATTTAACTACACTGTATGATGTAAGTTCCATATTTCTGGAACAAATCTGGAATAATCTAATAATTCATTTTTCTTAAATTTACAGTTACATTAGAAATATATGCAGTTTCAAATTCTACTGTTTTAAATTTTAATTCTGGAGATTTTATCCTTCCATGCAGAATGAACCTGACTCCAGAGCAGAGGCAGGAAACAAAAATATCTGAATCAAGGAGCTGATGACTTTTTGCATTTACATAACACCAGAATTTTTGTTCACTTGCAAAACCATGTCCTAAATTAACCATTCCTCAACTACATAAGTACAGTAAATGTGAACAAAATGCTGTATTTAACCATGGTAAAAATATGCAAGAGAATGTATGAATTATTTCATAATTACAAAATGTGTAATGTATACTGACATTGTAAGTTAATTTTATTTTAATTTGGTTTCAAAATCACATACATATCATAATGAACCAAACAGAAAACAATCCTTCAACTCTCCTTGCGAGAATACAAGAGGGACAACACACACAACTTGGGGGAGAGGTGTAAATGGTTATAACCTAACCCAAACAATTCTGCTCGTCGGAAAAGTCACGACAGTCGTACAAGTTGTCACATCTGTGGTCACTGCTGATACACTGCCCATCAGCCAGGCACTCGAATTCATCAGGAAGACACTTTTCACCACTAGGTGGTTCACCTATACCGAAATGTGAAGCAGCATTGTGCATCCAGACTATGAAAACAGAGTACTCGCCTAACATTAAACAACACACAGATGTCCCAAATAAAGTCTGACTTTAATACAGTCTGTTCTTAAATATACCTTATTTTTACCTCACAACTTAGGTTGATTTTTGTATCTGACTATAAATCATCAACCATTAAATATAAGTACTGAATATAAATCCTGCATGGCTATGATTTATTACCTGTTATCTTTGAACTGCTCATTTACTTTCATTCTCTGAACTACAGAATATGAAATGATTACACAATTCAACACTGTGACAACATATAACAGGAACAACTTCTTTAGTACATAGTCTGTGACTACAGAACAAAATAATAATAAAAAGTATTGATCAAATCCATATTATTGAGGCACTGAAGAAATGCCCAATCAAGAGGTTCTAAACTCTGGGGTTCCCAAGACAGTGATGGGATATGTTAATTAAGCAGCTGCAGATGTGAAAAAAATAAACATACTAAAAAATCAAATCCAACATGTAAATATGGACGATCTTGACATAAACACTAAAATTTCTCCACGTGTCCCACAGAACAGACTAAAAGAAGTCTGGATTACCACATGCAACATCACTTATATGTTATTTCCCATTTAATGCATGTTCCAGAGAACTGCCAGTACAGAAGTTGCAGCAGCAAGTATAACCCTCATTTCAATGCAAGCTCCTGTTCACTCTGTAATGATGTAAGAAAACTACACATTTCTTTATAGTGTAATTAATTTAGCACAACTGATATATTTTACAAACAAACTAAGTAACATAATGTTATGTACCATAATTTTCAGAATATTCATACAGCCATGATGTGCAACTCTGAAAATTACCCTTTCAGCAGTCAGAATTTTAACACTGTCCAGTTATATCAGACATGAACTGAAATACAATTTCCTGGATGTGAAGTGGGATTCACAGAGTCTGAAAGCTTAGGCTACCTTTCAGCAATGGATCAATAGGTGCCAAGCTGCAAACGTGTGCCATCTAGGAATGTAATTTGGACATCTGTGCAATATAAGTTGTCCATTGCCATACAGGCCACCCAGTCCACCCAGCACTACTTTTGTATTTCTCTGTAACACAAATATCCACCTTCAATCAGAGTGTCTGCACAACATGCAGGGCTCAAGTAATGGCCCCAGACTTGCAGCTGATTGATACCTGCACAAAGTGTGGTATCACTGGCAACTAAATGGGGACAGTATCCACTGACAGGTCACAGGTCACAAGCCTGAGGAGGACCACTCAGTACCTCAACTTCTACAATGCCCAAATGATGTGCAGGAGGTTGCTATTTTGAAACCCAGGTAATTTCCTAGACCAAAACCACCAAAAATTAATTGATCAGTACATGAAAGTGACTCATCTGTGCTCTACAATAGAGTTTCCCCACCTCTGCTTCTCTGATGACATTTCTGATACATACAAAATTTGATGAAGATTTAACTTTCACATTTAGGATCAGAATTAAACAAGGTTTAAAGCAACAGTTAAGGTGATTAGCATCTGAGAGTAATAACTGAACTCTATAATGTGCAAGGCAAAGCAGGACACAGTAAAAGGATAAAAAATCACACATTTATGGACATTGCTGGAAACCCTTGCATTGTGACCAGCTTCATTTTGGTACATATATATATATAGTCATCATCCAAACTAGCTCTGGGGCCCACCCAGCCTCCTATCCAATGGGTACTACAGATTCTTTCCCCTAGAGGTTAAGCAGTTGGGATGCAAAGCTGACCAATCACCTCCAACTAGTGCCAAGGCCAAGGAAATTTGAACCTATACCTCCATTCTCCCTTCATGGCACACCGCTTAATTTTACTTAAGCACAGGGACAGCCTTACCATTTTACATACTTACATACACACAAACATCAGAATCTATGCTACATTGATACCTAACCTCAAGCCTTCCAGCATTATGCACACTTGGCAGATTATAGGTTATTAAACATAGAAATATTCTATCTCTTTAAATGTCACCTTTCTCTGTACTGTACTTCATTCTGGGAATACAAAAAAAACTCATTCCTTTAACATGCTACTTCCCATTTCCTATATAGTTCAGTCTTAATTCTGAGTTAGGACCTATTCAACCTCCCATATGCCACTCACATAAATGCAAGGTTAATACTTTCTCTCTCTGATGTCTTGCTTTTAAACAAAACACAAGAACTGCCTATGTAATGTCTATGCCTAGGAAACACTACTATACACAGAGGCCAACGACCGACCAACAATAACTGGATATATTAAATCCTAAAACCTGTGTGGTTATTTGTTGACCTCTGTCTATCTGTGAGTGTGCGTGCATGTGGGCGCACATGCATGCACATTTGAACTAAATTTATGGATACAGAATTGGTCCATCACCTGGAACCTGAGAACCTCCTGCTTCAATCCCAGTAAATCCCATCCATAACCATGAGGTCCACCAAGCTACTGCACTTTAACTGTTTTTGACAACTAATTAGTGCAAAGAGAACTACATGCCCAGGTCCATATGTTGATATTTACAGAGTACTGAATGTTTCACAGTTTGTTGTGCTTTTACAGTGCTGTATAAACTTCCACTGTTAGCTAGCACTGAATGAAATATGGCATAAATATTATGTTTCTGGACACTATCCATCAGTCCTGTTTATATTCATAAAATTTGTACTAATGTACCATCATCACAAAATAAACTACGATGAGTGTGAATTATATAGTTGTAGGGATGTCAAAGTAGTTGTGAACGGTATCAACAAATAATCCTGTCATATGTCTTATAAAGGAACTGATGAAAACCACAAAACCCAGTCATGATATCCAGTCACAAGCATCACCAGTGTGTCAATGTGAACATAAGTCAGGTGCCTCACTGGTATGCCGATGTGTGAACATGAGCCATGCATGTTACTGGTGTGCCAATGTGAACACATCTGAAACATCACTGGTGTGCCAAAGCCAACACAAATCTGATGCATCACTGCTGTGTCAATATATCTAATACATGCATATAAATGTAACTTTCCTGTCAGTTTCCCATTCTCCCCTGGAAATAAAGATATGATGAAATTTGCTCCAAACTCTTGCCAATGTGCGTGGCAGCTGGACTAGTCAGGCACTGTGCAACTACTGCAGTAGAATTTTTACCTGTGATTCCAATCCTCACACCCATTTGTTTATTTCACGAATATATTGTAACTTCTCAATTTGAATGTTACTCAGTCACTGTATATCATGATACTAACATGGAAAACAACTGTATCCTGGGTGCAGCACAGGTAAATCTATGCTTGTACATCTCAGAGAATATGTCATACCATGAACAGGAAAGCTTATGGAAGTCCTGTGTGTTCAATGGTACCTTCAGTATGGTGATCATGGCTACCACTTTATATTGAAAATACAAACAAGCAACTTCCTAAGAGTGCTGTAACAATCAAAGTCACTATCTGATGATAATTAACCCTCAAAAATGTTCTAGACATATAATGAAGTTCGTTTCCTAACAACCTTCCCTGCAACTCACCTACACAGCTCATCCTGTTTCTAAAAGCACACACTTCCACCCTGCAGATGGAGGCACCATATTCCTCTGAAAGGCTGGTATATTCCTACAAGACTTCAATGTATCACAACCCAGAAGACCACACTCTCAACACAAAATAAAATCCAAGTGTCTCAAGGCAAGTCCATTTACCAATGACACACTCTAAACCCCCCCCCCCTCCTGCACTTTGTCAGGAAGGTTTTTTTCTACTGCTTACAATTACAGTGCTCTCCAACATGTGGCATATGAAGACAAATGCTTTTGCTGTGAAAATATTTGAAGGACAGGATTCCATTTCTTTCCAATGATGATTAGCCTATAACATATAGCATTTACTTATATGTGAGGGCAAAATATTTCACAATGTGATACTTGAAGGATATAAAGTAAACACACATATAGAAATATTGTCAAATAATTCTTACCACATTCAGCTTCATCTGATCCATCTCTGCAGTCTGGTCGGCGATCACAGACTCTACGTGAATCTATGCAGCTTCCATCCTGACAGGTAAATTCAAATGATCCACATGTCCTTGGAGCTAAAACAAGAACATCAACTCATTTCAAAACACTACTATAACAATAATGTGCAAGGTACAATTCTGCCAAAAAAAAAACATGCATGACCATGAGCCTTATCCCACACACTGACTGTGACATTGCAACACTGCAAGGTATATTCATTCATTCATCAGTAAACTGTGAAGACAACAGGTCCACAGTCTCTTCCAAAACAGTTCCTCCACTTGATGCAATCTAGAGCTTTCTCCTTCAATTGCTGGTAAAAAGATTCTTCTTCTTGCTACAAGGAATATTACGTACTCATAATGCAATGCCTTCCACATTGGAGATGTCACCTATAATTACTGAAAGGTTGGAAGCAAGACGATCACATGCTTGCTATACAGCTTCATCACATTTTCACGACCACCACCGTCAGCAACTCAAACCTTACACGCATCAGCTAAAGCCATCAAGAACACCACTGGAAAATGAACTTCAATGCTGGAATCTGCCTTTCAGTACTTCCAAAGTACATTCTTTCTCAACTGTGCATACAAGCCCTTCTTCACAAATCTATTTGTACAAAGCTCAGCATGGCACTAACATATATACTATTCAAGGAAAATATCCTGTTGTGTTATCCTATAAAACTTCTTTGTTTGGTTTCTGTCTCAACACAGCAACTATCAAAATCTCGTTCACATCTCACTGTGTATGATGAGTTTATTGTCTTAATAGTACAACAATGCACTACATCTTTCGGTTTATGAAGCCATCATCAGGCAGTATACATTTAGGAATATTTCAAATATCTCTGTGCATGTCCCAGCAGTCCCGGTGACACAATTCTGTAGGCCAATATTGCCTTTGTGTTGCTGCCATTTTTTATGTTATGATGTGCTTGAGCATCTTTTGTCATCTGTCTTGTGTCTTGTGAAAGGACATACATAGAAATTAAAGATGGTATACTAAGTTCAGTATCATAACAACCCTAACCTGGTAGTGGACAATCAAATTCATCAGAACGGTCTGGACAGTCAGCAGATCCATCGCATTTCCTGGAGAGAGGGATGCAAGATTGGTCGCTGCATTCAAATTCATTGCTAGAACATCTTGGGGCTGAAAGAGATTATTAAGGACAAGTGAAATTAATTTCCTTCTCCTCTTTAACTCTTGAAGTTTACAGACATTTCAAATTAATGAAACAAGACATAATATTTATAAATGTCAAGAATAAGTACTTGCCAAGACATATTATTATGAAGACCAATAAAAATAAGTTTCAGGTAACATTACAGTTGGTTATTTAAAAAGGCATTGTGATTCTCTACCTACAGTAGCTGACCAAAATCAGGAAGACAGATCTGTAGGAAACAAATATTTCTTTATTCTGTCCTGATGAACGACCCTACTAAAAAAAACTAGTACCTTTAAACGACTCATGGATTAACCACCAGACACACTTGTTGATATTAAATATGTTCCAAAACCAGTGGTTAAAGTTATTCATAATGTCCCAGATCGCAGGTACATGCCATTCCACTTAATTTTTTTAACAAATAATCAAAATGCACCATGACACACATCTACAAGTGTATCATCAGCAGTGATTAATGCTGGTTCACTTTTAATGCAGGCCAAAGGTCTTGCATGCAATCATTTTACATGTACTAGTCATTAGAATACAACACCATTACATAAAATACAGCCATTCTCACATCTGCTTTTCTGTTGGGTTAGAAGCTATCCTTGTAACAGGACGTGCAGGCCCATAGAGTTCTGAGACGAGGCTCCCACATTTCCTCTAAAAAATCGGTTCATCGATGGCAGTAAGGTTGTCAGCCTTACGCGCCTGCCACCCTTTAACCCCCAGGATGATTCCTGGTACTCATTTCTGTTAGAGGCTGAGTTGACCCCAAGGCCATAGCGCGGTCGGAAGGATTAGATAAATTGCAAAAAAAAATTCACCTCATCAGGACTCCAACGCACGACCTTCCAGAAAAGAGTTTTCCTCTAGTGAAACACTGTAGTAGTATAATGAATTTTCTAAAACAATTGCAGAATTCTGAAGCAGATACGGAATTCTTTTTCTTCACAAAATTTTTCATGGTTATTTTTATTAATTTAATGAAGGTATTCTTCTGCAGCCCATGTTGATTTCCATACAAGCAGCATTACAACAAAGCCATTTCCTGCCCCCACATGAATTACAATTAATCTCTGGCCTTTTGGTCTCATTAAGCCCTGGCTGCTGTTATCAATCCAGGACTTGTTCTTCACAAAGGATGACAATATGTATGACTCTTCAATACACAAAATATTTATGGTTTCTTTCCTAAATGATTAATGCTTCTCAAGTAAGAAATTTACTTCTCCCCCCCCCCGTATCATGACTTTATATTACATCTGCCCTGCCGCTTTTCATTGCCTTCCATGTAAGTTCCAACTGCATAAAAAAAAATTTCCTGACAACTGTACTTCCTGCTAAACAATTTACTGACTTGGCGCCTTTCACTCATAGGCCCAGTTCACTTTCCATTCACTTCCCCATCCTACAGAACTCACTCTTTTCCACACTACTGTTGTACTGAAATCAATGTAATAAACTGGCTTCATGTTGTGATGATGTCTCTTATCTGCCATTTGGAAGGAAGTGGTACCTTCTCCAGCAACAATGGATTTCCCTCTTCTTTAATTTTTATGACAGAAGGCAGAGAAACGACTACTGCTTCCCTTGTTCCTGTATGTTCCTGTTGAACAGGCACTCTAAATACCTCCTTGACGGCTCAATTTTTCCTGAACGTTAACAACGTTGTACATTACTCCTCTTCTTTAGGTATGGAGTTTTTTATTCTTTAGGAATTACTATATGGGAGGTGTTCTGAGAAACAGAGCTTCACAAACGCCAAAGTCTTCAGAACAACCCTGAACAAGAAACAATATCGCTAAACAATGCCATTGAAACAATCCATACTTGTCTGCTTCTCACACACATGCTTATAATGGCCAATAATTGTATCTGGTATGTAATACACACACTTAAGGACATAAAACACGTGTTGCTTACTCACAAGAGGTCATAAAACAGACCAATATTATTCCTAAGAGTAGAGCAAAAGTTGTACTCCGAACACGTGCAGATCATTCTCTCCCCCCCCACCCCCCCACCCAGGAACTGTCTCAGACTGTGTGTGTCACCTTTATCCATATCTTTTTTGCCATTTAAGTGTTTTCCTACGACAGGATAATATTAAAGCATTTGGTCCTACCAATAAACATCTGACATGTACTTACTGTACTATTTACAGCTCTTTCATGGTTTAATTCTCCAGTCAGCTATCCCCACATTAAAAGGCAAAAATTAAAAAAATATGTACGATTACCATACAGAATTACACTGCGTGTTTATTTTCTGCAACATGAAACAGATACTCACAGCATCCAACTTCATCAGAGTTGTCTTGGCAGTCAGTGAAGCCATCACACCTGAATGTCCCTGATATGCACACTCCATCATTACATCTGAACTGGTTGCTTAGACATCCTGCACACACGCAGTTCAATTCAGAACACAACCAAAATATATAGACATACACACAAGAGGTTGTTCAAACTGTGTACTTGTTGCCACATGTGCCTTCAGGCAGATATTGGGTTTGATTCTTTGTATCCCTCTAGAAGTATGACAAAAAGTTGATCATGGGATTGCACACTTGTAATGCTTAGTTTCAAGCAAATGGTCATATCTGCAAAATCATTCTAACATGAATGCTATTTTAGGCGATGGCACTGTTTACTAGTAGGCTATATTGGTAATGATTCAAAGATCCATACTGTCTCCATTTGCAAGGCTTTTACCGATATTTACAGCCAAGGTCCGGGACTTACATATTTGATCCCCCGAGTAACAGTCAAAGGAAGATTTTTACAAAGGGTCAATAGCATTATTGTGCAGGGATTGGGGGGAGAAGAGCTGGATGTGCATAATGTATAGAAGTGTACCTGAAGGGTACACTCTGGGGGGGTTAATTGGGAAGAAAGAGGAAAGAATAGGAAAGAAAGGGGAAGTTCATTCCATGTTCTTTGTATAAACCTCTTATCATCTGACCTGTTTCCCCTCTTAATTGCATGACATATCTCTCAATTCAAAGTGTCCCATTCTAGGATCATCTCAGAAGAAACATCCACCACTCTCCTTCTGATTCGTGCTTCTCACCTCACGCATGCTTCCCATCATTTACTACCCTAGAATGAATCAACCCTTGAAAGGTCCATTTCCCAGTTCCATTTCTTGTCGGGAATCACTCAAGAACACACAGGAAGCACTTTCCATTGACCTGCCAATCTGTACTATAAATATCAACAGAAGTCTCCAGGTATATGCTTCAGCTTGATGGTGGAAACAGTAAGAATCATGAAACACTGGCAATATAGCTTGGCTTACTCCTACACAGAACCTGCATTAGCAACGAAATGGTATGACATGATGTTAGCTTCTACAAGCATGAATTGCGTTCTATGAATGAATGCCTTCATGCTTCACACTTACAATTTGAGGCATACTGATGCTTTTACAATTTTAGAATTCAATTTCTGAATAATTTGGCACTTCTTTATAAGGAACTTCTCAAATTAATTAGTAAAAAACTAAATTCTAATAAATCTGAATGTTCTTTGGAATTTAACATAATTTAATGTGTCCTGTACATGATATTTAACCCTTCAATCCACCAAAGTACTTTTTCCAGGCAGTTTACCATCATCCTATCACTATGGTTACTCAATGAACCTACATATCCATTACATTAACCTTAAGATAATTGTGGCAAACGTCTATGCTACAGCAGAGTATTATGATCTGGGATATAATGCCATGTACTCAATTCGCAGTCAACCAACATTTCGGAGGAACACATCGCCTCCATATTTAGGGTCAAAGAATAAATAGAGCAATACACCAGCCTGCTCTGCTTGCCACCTGCTTTCATGCTGGTATCTTGCTTGGTTTATTCTTTGACCCTGAAGATGAAGGTAATATGTTCCTTCAATATGTCAGGTGACTTTCAACAGGTTACGCGGCATTACATCCCTGGAAACAGTACTCTTCATAACCACCGCTGTGGGAATCTCAGATACTACATCCATGCTACAAGCTCCAGTCCTCAGAGATATGCTCACATCAGATCATCTGAGTACTATCTCATTATTTTTCAATCACTGACCCTCCTAACCTCTGTCCATCTAGGAAGGCTAGCTTCAATTTTGGGCCAAAACATACAATGACACAGAAGTTAATGATGGTGTCCAACAGATTTCACAAATTTCTCAAGTGTAGGTGATCCCACACAGTGTTTTTTTTTAATTGTAAGGGAAAAAATGTAAATACAAAAGAGGCCTAGGCAATGCTCATCCTTGCGCAAATCTTTTTTCTTCTAGCCTTAAGAGCTCTGTAACTGATTTTGGGCAATTCTTTGCTGTTCCCAGACATACATCAATGTTGCCCTTTGGTCCTCGTACTCTTTACAGTCCCAGAAGATACGTTCCTCTGTTTGCAGCCCATGACCACATTCTTATTCGGCCGTGGACACAATGTTAAATCTGTTTAGGCTTGCTTTAAGACTGAGTGACCTGCTCTCATATGGTTTATTGTCAGGAAGGAGCGGTGGTTCATTTTTATCTGTCGGAACCACGGAGATGAGGCTTTACCTTTCAAAGTAGCTTTCTCCTCTGTCCTGTTTGGTGTTTTGACAAAAACTGTGAAGTTCTTCTTTGCCTTTCTTTTTCCACTGGGTTTTAAGATCTGTTACTGGTAATAATAATTGACTATCTCTGCCTTCTTTGATTGCTTGCTTTGCCTCCAAGTCGGCCCCTCATTAACTTCCACTTCACAGTGCCCCAGGATCCAGTAAAACAGGATTTTTTTTCCTCGTGATTCCAGTCTATTTTATCTTTAAGCATTTGTGTAATGTGCGATGTGTTGCTCATTGCAGAGGAGTTACTAATTCCTTTTAACATGCTTGCCGAGTCCGAGAAAATCATGAAGTTTTGCTCTGATTCTATTTTTTCAATATCTAGTGTTTCAGCAATTGCTAATGCTTCCACCGTGAATATTGACACTATCTTAGGTATCCTAAATTTCATACTACGACCAGCTTTTATATCTATCGATGCGAATCCTACGAATGGTTTGTCCTCCATTTTTGAGCCGTCCATTGCTCACGATTTTCATCGGGTTTTTGCATTTCCTAACTATTGCATTTATTTCGTCCTCCCAGTCTAGACTAGATTTTAAGTGCAGACCTAAAAATTTTATTGATTTCATTGAAGAAACCTTTTCCCCTTGTACCATGATCTCCCACTCTCCATCAGTTGTCCCTTTTTTTATTGAAGATACACAGTTGTCATTTTTTTTGGTGCTATTTCCAAGCCACTTTCCTTTAAATAAAGTCCAATGATTTGTATGCTCTTTTCCTCTTCCAATACGCCAATTCTGCTACATCTGTTAACAACTGTCTGCGTATTCGAGGAGCTTGCAGTTACAGTTGATTCTGGATTTCAGTCCTGCCATATAAAGTGAATATAAGGTTGCACTCAGAACACTACCCCGCGGTAAGCCTTTGTATGTCCAGTCTTTGAGATCTACCCATCTGTAGTTTGCCTCTAATTCCCTCACGGAGACCAGGTTAAACATAAAGGCTAAAGCCTACTGCTTTGAGTCTATCCATCAAAGTGGATGTTGTTGTATGCACTTTTAATGTCTATGAATAAGGCCTATACTGGGTTCTGTTCTACAAACGCTTTTATTATTTCAGTTGTTAGTATTGGTAGGTTGTCTGTGCAACCTGTGTTTCGCCAAAATCCATACTGAGAACTTCTGACTCTTTTCTAGCCACCAGGAGATGCACATGTTTATCATCCATTCTAGTACCTTGCACACGCATTATGCCATAGATATAGGTCTTACACTAGTCTCGTCTCGTTTAGGGATAAAAAAATATGCTATATTTTTTCCAGTCGCCTGGGAATACTCTAGCTTCATTTGGAAAATTGTGTATTATGGCGTAGTCTATTCCATCCCGTCCCGGGCTGGATCGGACTCCGAGGTTTTAATTGAAAAGTGGAGTTCTTGAATTGTGTAATTGAAGTCCAGGAATTGATTCTGATTTCCATGATCGAATGCCGGTGCTTGATTGGGTTCATCCACACCTTACCATAGCTTTTCAAAAGTCGTTTTGGCGGAATTAACTAGTTCTTCTTTATATTCTTGCTCCCACTCTGTCTTGTTGAATCTATATTTTAATATTTTCATTCTATCCCAAATGTACAATGGATTCATGAATTGATTTATTCCCTCACAGAAAGTTTTCCAGTGCTTGTTTGATTTCTCTGTCCATTTTTTGCGATAATCACTGCCCCTTGTGTATTCTAAAAATGTCTCTTCAGTTTTACAGTATTTCCATCTAAGCAATTCAGCTTTTCTAATTCTAATTACCTTGTGGCATTCTCTGTTCCACCATATACACTCTGGTTGCTTTTCTCTATTTCTTATTTTTCCTTGTCCTTCATTTCCGAGGTTGTTTTTGTTTTCTCTTTTGGGAGCCACACAGAGCTTTAATTAAAGAAGTGATTCTCCCATCTGTTGACAAGATGAACTAAGCACAAAAAAATATATATTGAATTGTGTATCAATGTTCCTTGTCATCTATTGGGTCATTAAAAAGAATAAATCAGAGGAATTTGAAAAAAAAACAGGTGTTCATATTTTCTGACACTACAAAGCTTGTGACCAATGAACTGTACAGTTACAGTTTATTCAGCTGGTCAAAATACCTGTTGTTAAGGAAGCAAAAGTTACACTGCGGTGATGACACAAAGGCAAAGTATACTCAGCTAATTCAATTTTGTTTATACCCTCACAAAGCATTTCCGTAAGAACCCACCTAATACCATCCTTCCATCTACGCCTTATTCTCTCCAACATTTTCTTCCCTTGACTTTCAACACAAATTTTATACACATTTTTTGTTTCTACAACATGGCCCAAATGCCCACCCACCCACTTAAACCACACGTTTTAATGGCCCTAAAAGAATCAGACATCAGGCAAAGTGTGCATACTGCAATGCTTCATACTACATAATCGTAATTTATACCAGTACCTTGTTACACGCATCATCTCTTGAAATATTCTCCTCAACACTGTTCTTCTATCACAAGAGAAACAAAAATTACTCATTCTTACACAGAGCACCTCAAAACAAAAGCTCATATTTCAGCATTAACATGCAAGCAAAGCTCAGGGTGAGCTCAAAGCATCTACTACATGGATTTCACAAGTGGTTGCAGCATGTATTATCATCCTCAGCCGAGTCAGTTTGGCACCTCTTAACTTTGAGGCACATGTATTAACCAAAAATTTTTCATTCTAGATACAAACTATGTGAGGGCTGAAGCAATACGAGGTAACATTGCTACCACATGAGAAATCCTCTGTGTTAAGTGTAAATGTTTCTCAGTAATCACATTACAGCTCAGTTACAGGAACAAAGAAATTTCTATGTATTTCATTATGAAACATATGGCCCTCAAAATATGAACAATGCCTAGAAATATAAGCCTCTATTTTTCCACATAATTGCCAGTTCTTTGTATACATTTCTCCCAGCGTTCTGGGAGTTTGAAAATTCCCCTTCTGTAAAATTCCGTTCCAGCCATCCAAAGACACTGACGCACTGCTTTCTGAATTCAACGTGCTTATGGAAGTGTGTGCATGGGTGCAAGCAGTGTTCGAAGATGGGTGAAACATTTTAGAGATGGAAACACCAGCATCGAAGATCAGCCTCGGAGCGGTTGTCCTCAAAGAGCCTCAACTGAATGCAACAAGGAAAGAGTGGATGAGATCATTGAAGATGAGAGGCGTGTGACTGTGGACACGATAGCCTGAAAAATTGGAACAGGGCACAGTGCAGTACAGGAGATGATTGAAAGCTTGGGCTATAGGAAAGTTTGTGCTCGCTGGGTCTAGCGGTTATTGACCGAAGACCACAAAGGTCACATTGGAAGCAATTGCAAAGAAGGGGTGGGAAGTTCTTCCACACCCCTCCTATAGCCCTGATCTGGCACCCTCCGACTACCATCTTTTCAGATTTGTGAAGGATCAGCTGCGTGTACAAAGTTTTGAGACAAGGGAGACAATTCAGAAAGCAGTGTGTCAGTGTCTTTGGATGGCTGGAACGGAATTTTACAGAAGGGGAATTTTCAAACTCCCAGAATGCTGAGAGAAATGAGTACTAAGAAGTGGCGATTATGTGGAAAAATAAAGGAAGATCTGTAGATTGAGGTGGTGTATTTGGTTTGTCAATAATAAAGCATGTTACTTTACAAAAAAAATTGTTGCTCATGACTTTCAGTACGACTCTCGTATGTGTTAGATATGTATTTGCCTGATTATGGCTTTTACTAGCCGAAACATGTAGCAGAGCCAAACCTGGCACTGACCTTAATATAGTTGTGTTGTGATGGTTTTAATGAAGAAATTGTGTACCAACTTTTGTCACTTTTACAATGAATACCAGTAACAGAAACAGTATCTAATATCTCTTTATCAACAATTTTGGAACTGTGCAGTGAAACAGCTGTATCTCAGTAACCGTTCCAAATACAACACCTATATATACACTTCTTTGCTTAGACTGACCGATACTGTGACCTCCAATGACCTCCAAAATACTGACCATTCCTCCTGGACACCTGTATAACCTGGAGGTTCATCCACATATTCAGAAAAGTTGTTAATATGGCCTTACAAGGAATTAACCTAATCAAATTAATATCGTACCAACTCATTCTAACAGGCTCACTCTAACTACATTACTGTGACAGAAAGGGGGGGGGGTAACCATTCACTGTCCTCTGTGCACATTACTGGATTTGACCCGAAATGTTCAGAAAACTACCCAGCTGACCAGGAGAATTGAGGTCACCCACACACTTACTAGAATCTTCTTTACAGGAGACCAACTAGTCAGTAAGTCAGCCAGTTTTCAGTGCAGAGCACAGCAGAGTAGAAATAAGCAAGTACAGTGCCCTGACCAATGGTACTGGTGTGAATAACAAGTGAACAGAGTTAGGATATCAAGAGCACAAGTGCTTAGAGATGGAGGTGCAGCAATTAACTGCTACACTTGCCGGTGTGACAATATCCTACCCACATGGCCTATCCCCCAAATAATCTAAATCGTTTCCTCCCCCAAGTTTTGAAGTAAAAGTACTTATTGTTTTCCACATAAATATCTAATTAATTTAACTTATTTCCTTTAGTATTCTACTGAGAACTGAGAAACACTTCACTTGGGGTTAGGAGTTAGTCTATGCCAAACATACGCCCATTGCCGCAGTCTGCCTCATCGCTCCCATCCCTGCACTCTGCATAACCATTGCACTCCTTGCTGGCCTCCAGACACATTCCATCGTTGCATCTAAACTCGTCTCGCCTGCACGAGTCTGTAAACCCCATACCACTGACTTACATAAGTTCATCTTGCCAGCAGATTTATCAATCCTAACAAAAGCATTCATTTCTCCTTGCATGGAGCACAGAAATAAAAGCCAATGAGAAAAGCAATGTCTAGCACCGTATTTCATCTTATAACTGATGAATACATTTCAGACTTTACACTGAAAGCTTATACCTAATTCTGTTTCATATGGTCCAATGTTGTTTCCATTGCATAACCTAAATACACATCACAACGAACATCCAAAAGTTATGTGGGAAATATTTTTGTTAAACATGAACATAACAAAAATATGTGATCCAAAATGAAAATGAAAACTTTAACATCCTTTCTCCATTGACATTTAGAGCCCTCTTTCCTTTACAAAGAAAATCACACTTACAATACTGACTCATATGCATCCCTAATGGCCGCTGAACCAACAAATTAATATTCATGACACTTGGCAGAGTCACTTTACATGACCCATGACTTCTATATAATTTCTTTGAAATTCTGATTAAATTTCATTCATACAAGATACTGTTATTCAAGTAAACATAAAACAGTGAACATTTACATGAGATCACTCAGTTCTTCCTCCTGATACATCACTCAGTTCTTCCTCCTGATACAATACATTCTGTATCTCTCACTTCCTGTTAGTATGTATATTTCAGAATATAACAAAATCAGGTAAATACACCCTTGGAGATGGCAGATATCAGTTAAATGGCTGGGTGACATTTCTTTGGGTTATTCAATGACACTTTCAGTATCAAGATCATAATACCATGAGATGATATGATGACTAGTGAAATGGAAAGGATTTGGGAGGAAGTGGTCATGGCCTATTCAAGGTACTATCCTAGCATTTGGCAGGGTAACTGTGACTTTCTTAGGTCACATGTCACAGGTAGTAATGATGCCATCCTCAATGAGGTTGGCCAAACTACAGCTGTGTCTTTGGTGGGGACACATCATGGACCAGGATGTGTTGGGGCACAGCTTTGGGACACCTCCTCGTGGTCCCACTGGGCAATGACAGTCTCAGAGTCTGGATTAGTATGACCTACCAAGGCTGGCGGCTAAGTTCCCATAAAGGGCAATGGCATTATGACCGGAGCCTTCCACGCAGCAGCATAATGACTCTTGGGTGCCACTACAGTCTACCTGGGACAAATGCGGCAGTAGTTTCGGCTACTTGAGTTGTCTCCCTAGAGTACCGATAAGGTGCCACAAGCCATCGGGCTCAACACTCTAAAATGGTTTGACCAACCCATGAGGAGGGGTGGAAATGGGGGAGCTCATAGAACACCCCCAGGGGCGACTCTCTCATACAGGTTTCCCTGAACCTCATGACTAGCTGGTGTCGCACTCCCATTCATCATCTGGGATACACCTCTCCCCTCGAACAGGCACGCTAGGTCCTGGAGGCTTTTGAGGGTCTTATTCATAACAGGACCAAACCACCTAACCCAAGGTGTGAGGCATCGTGCTGAGGGCTGCATGGCACTGGGGTGGTAATTATCCAGTGTTGTGAACATTTCCCTCGGGGCACCAGGCAGCACCCCATTACATTCATGCCTTCCACCCATATGGGGCACTGCTGGTGGTGACCTTCTAAATCCCCATGACTAGTGGCACCAAAATGAGAGGTACCAAATCAAAACCCAGTTGTAAGGACCTTAAACTGAAGAGGGACCCCCCTCCAAGGGGATCCCTATAAGAGATGCTTCAGTAGTGGGCTGGAAGCTCTGGTGAACCATTAAGGGGCCCAATTGCAACCAGCGAACCTGCTGCTGAAACTTCAGCCAAAGGTAAGGACGAACCAGTCGTTCGAAACCTGGCTGAGGTAAAAGCAAAAAGTACTGTCTTGGGAGCCAGTAGTACTGACATACCACTGCAGGGAGCTAGTACTTCTAGCATACCTGCAGCAGGAGGACTGGGACACCTAGTCTCTGGAGTAGGTGAACCCGTCTAGTGAAGGCCTTGTCTGGGTGTGCTACATGGAAGTTGAAAAAGGCAAGAGGTGGGTCAAGCAAAGCAGGAACTGGGGGCAGTCAGCAACCAGGAAATGCAGACTTGCCCAAGCAGGGAGAAACCCCTACCGAGACTTTTAAGGGGCCTAGGTCGGATGGCAGTACCCCTACTAAAAAGAAATAGCCCTTCATACTTGACCTTATGATAAGATCTAACAAACTCAACACAGTAATGTCCTTTCCCTTTACCCTAAAAGAGATGCACACAGACTGCCTCTGAAACAAACATTCTGTCGGTTATCTTATGGCAGTGTCACCATCTACAATACAGAGCATCAACTGGCAGGATGGTTACTGAACAATGAACTGAAAAAGATTTTAAGTGGTTGAGCCATGCTGTATTTAGCTGGCTCATGCGTGTTGCACCCTGGCATCCTGCCATTCTTTAACCCCATCCCCAGTGGCATTATGCTAATGTCTACCATTACTTCTACCTATCTTGACCACGCGACCCTCCTTCCCTCTCCACGATCGTCTCAGAAGGGAGTAGGTGTGTCAGCATTCTGAAGGTAGACCTACTCACAAGTGGTTGCTTACCAGCAGCCGGAGGACTTGGAACTGAAATTCTGTTTTGGACTTTGTAATTCTAAATTATGTTTGGAGACTCTACGGTCTGGCTGGTAAGGGTAAGGCTGCCCGCCATCGCAACGGAATATTCTTGATAGCATTGCAGTTGCAACCGTGTCTTTTCTGTATTATTATTGTTGTTGTTGTTGATGTCATTGTTATTGTTGTTTTTGTTTTTGTTGTTGTTGTTGTTGTTGTTGTTGTTGTTGAATGTTGGTGTAACCTGTTCGATGGCCTAATGAGGCTGGGGCAAGTGGGGCAGTTTTGGGTTTCTACTTGTTACGACTGTCCATAATATGTGATTATTTGGGCAGTTGCTACTTTTGGTTGTGGTGCCTCGCCCTTTTGAGTTTATGCCTGGTTTTATTTATTTCTGTATATTGTGTGTCAGTTTCCTTGTTATGTTGGCTATTAAATATTGTTATTGCTTATTTTTAAAGTCTGCATATATACGTGGTACAATCCAAAAGTTCCTGAAATATATTAGTAAGAGCTATTACATCTTACCTAGATCTTATTCTGCACCATCACCTTCAAAGTAGTCCCCTTGGGAGCGCATACACCGATCCCAGTGTTTCTGCCACTTTTCAAATGCATCCTGGAAGTCTTTCTTTGT